ATCAGCGCAGTGCACCGGCAGCAGCGCACCAGCCACAGCGGCCACTGGGAAATGAACCAAAGGAAGACCTTTCTCTCTGTCTCTCTCTCTCTCACTGTCCACTCTGCCTGTCCAAAAATAAAAATGCTAACTATAATTTTTGAGGGAGAGAGAGAGAAAAGAAAAAACCTGAAAAAAGGGTCCCGAGAGGCATCTTAGCTCCTGTGTCAAACACCCACCAACATCTGCGATTTCAATTGCTGTATGTTTGTCATTTATTTCTATTTATTCATTGATATTTTTAGATTGATTTGTTTAAAAGGCAGAGTCAAGGAGATAGAGAGAAAGAATCTTCTATCTACTGGTTCACTCCCCAGATGTCTGCAATGACCAGGACAGGGCTGGGCTGAAGCCAGGAGCCTGGAACTCCACCCGGGTCTCCTACATGGGTGTGGGGCCCACACACTTGGCCATCTCCTGCTGCTTTCCCAGGTGTTATTAGAAGGGAGCTGGATCCGAAGCAGAACAGCCGGGACTTGAACCAGTGATCCTACAGGAAGCTAGCAGCTTAACCCGCTGCACCTCGATTATTGTGAGCGAGGCAGAGTCGAAATCCCTATTCCAGGCTCTTGCCTCTTACTCAGAATTAAAAGCATTCTAAGTATTAAGTGCAGGCAGAAACACAACATACCAAGCGATAAAGGCTACTTGAAAGGTGAGGAAAGCACACCGACGTGGGCATTAGTGCTGAGAGAGAGAGAGAAAGAATTTCAGGCTTCCTGTGAGTCCACGGGAAGACAGAGCGCCCCCTGGCTGTCGCCCGGCTTCTTAAGGCTTGAAAAGGGCTGTGGTTACGTGGTCCCCCGCCCCCAGGGTACATGCTGGGGGAGGGATCATTTGACTGACGGGTTGGGTGGAGGTGTGGCTTCCAACTCCTGACCTAACCTCTTACCTGCCTTATCCTACACCACTATCACTTCTTTTTAAGTCTGGTTTGTTTATTGATCTCCGGGATGAGGACGCCTTTATGGTGGGTGTGCTGGGGTGTTGAGTGCAGAGGCACTGGGGGAGGCAGCACACTGGTGGTCACTGAGTGGCCTCTGGATTGGACAACAACCCCAAGATTGGCCACTGGGCCTAGAACTTTTGTCAGAATCAAAACACAGCCACTAGGGATCCATTCACAAACCCTAGAGATCCATTCACAAAACTGGGAGGCGCAGAAGAGGGCGCCTGGCCACTGTGGTCGGGAGACTGTTGGCCTGGAGATCCGACAGCTGTGTGCCCGGTGCCATACCCCCTTCCAGCTCCCTATTCCAGATTCCTATGTGTGCAGACTCTTGGAGGCAGAAGTTGATGGCTGAGGTACTTGGATTCCTGCTGCCTACATGGGAGACCCGGATGGAGTTCCTGGCTCCTGGGTTCAGCCTGGCCCAGCCCTAGCTAGTTTGTTGTTGTTGTTTTTTAAGATTTATCTTATTTATTTGAAAGACACAGTTACAGAGACAGAGAAAGAGAGACCAAGACAGAGGTCTTCCATCCGCAGGTTCATGCCAGTGAACTCCAGCAATGGCCAGGGCTGCACCGATCCAAAGCCAGGAGCCAGGAGGTTCATCTAGGTCTCCCATGTGAGTGCAGGGGCCCAAGGCCTTGGGCCATCTTCTGCTGCTGCTTTCCCAGGTGCATTAGCAGGGAGCTGGGTCAGAAGTGGAGCAGCCTGGACCTGAACTGTACCCGCATGGGATGCCAACATCACAGGCGTCAGCTTAACCCACTTTGTCTCAGCATCGGCTCCAGAATAGGTTCTTGTTCTCACGAGAGAATTCAGACATGAGACGGAGAGTGGTGGTCAGCAAGGTAGCCAGGTTTAATGGGGTGGGGCATCCATCAGAACAGACGGGGACACAATCGGAGAGAGGGTGCCCCAGGCACGCAGCCTGGGGAGAACAAGGCTACGGGGTTTAATGGAGAGAATGCACCTGCCATTCAGACTGGGGCTTATAAGGGAACAGGACCCAGTTCTTCCCACTCCTCCTTCCCCCTACCCTCTTTTTTTTTTTTTTTTTTAAGATTTTATTTATTGGCCAGCGCCGTGGCTCACTAAGCTAATCCTCCGCCTTGCGGCGCCGGCACACCGGGTTCTAGTCCCAGTTGGGGCACTAGTTCTGTCCCGGTTGCCCCTCTTCCAGGCCAGCTCTCTGCTATGGCCTGGGAGTGCAGTAGAGGATGGCCCAAGTGCTTGGGCCCTGTACCCACATGGGAGACCAGGAGAAGCACCTGGCTCCTGCTTTCGGATCAGTGCGGTGCGCCGGCTGCAGCGTGCCGGCCGTGGCAGCCAATGGAAGGTGAACCAACGGCAAAAGGAAGACCTTTCTCTCTGTCTCTCTCTCTCTCACTGTCCACTCTGCCTGTCAAAAAAAAAAAAAAAAGATTTTATTTATTTATTTGACAGGTAAAGTTACAGGCAGTGAGAGAGACAGAGAGAAAGGTCTTCCCTTTGCTGGTTCACTCCCCAAATGGCCACTACAGCCAGAGCTACACCGATCTGAAGCCAGGAGCCAGGCGCTTCCTCCTGGTCTCCCACGCAGGTGCAGGGGCCCAAGGACTTGGACCATCTTCTACTGCTTTTCCAGGCCACAGCAGAGAGCTGGACTGGAAGAGAAGCAACTGGGACTAGAACCGGCACCCATATGGGATGGCGGCGCTGCAGGCAGAGGATTAACCTAGTGCACCACGCCACCAGCTCCCCCCTTCTGAACTGGGTACGAAACAGGTAAAATCCCTCCCAGGGGTTTATTCCCCAGAGTTATCAGACTGGGCAGCCCCCGGGTGCTGGGCAGAGGGGATTCCCCTGGAGATGGCTGGAACCATCTGGAAAGTTATCGGGGTCTGACAGGACTTCGCCAGGTAAAATCCGGGGTGGTTTCTGGGACTGCTAAAGGCTTTCTTTCCCATGGTGCTTTGTTTTCTTGGGCCCCTCTTCCACACACAGGCGAGCTTCTAACTTCCTACCTAGCAGGTTCAGTTCTCAGCACAAGATCCTGCCCCCAGCTTCCTGCTAATGCAGACCGTGGGTGGCAGACGATGGCTCCAGCACTCAGGCTCCCGCCACCCATACGGGAGACCTGGATGGAGTTCCTGGTTCCTCCACTGTGGCCCTCTGGCCTTTGCAGTCATTATTTATTTTGTTGGAAATGCAGCCAGCCAGCCAGAGATGTCCCATCTGTTGGTTCACTCTCCAAATACTTGCCAACAGCCAAGGCTGGGACAGACCAAAGCCAGGAGCCAGGAACGCCATCCAGGTCTCTCCCGTGTGGGTGGCAGGGCCCCCAAGGACTTGAGCCATCATCTGCTGCTTTCCAGGGTGCTCATGAGCAGGAAACAGATGGTGGAAGCAGAGCCAGGACTCGAACCCAGGCACTCTGATGCGGGATGCAGGCAGCCAAGCACAAATGCCTCCCCTCGGTTGTAATGAACCATGATGTTGTGGCCTTGGGATCTAACAGGTCCTGCTTGGCTGAACTCTCAGGAGGGCAGGCGGTAGTGGCTTAGTGAGTGGCCCCTTAGCTCATCGAGATTGGGGGTGGGGGGAGCCCTGTGACCATCTGAACATGTGTGATCTCCTCTGAATCTGGCGCTGTGGCTGGGTGGGTAAAGCCACTGCCTGCGAGGCTGGCATCGCTCATGGATCATCCCTCATGGATCATCCAGACCCGGCTGCTCCACTTCCCACCCAGCTCCCCGCTGATGCACCTGGGAAAACAGCAGCAGATGGCCCAAGTCCCACGTGGGAGACCCAGAAAAAGCTCCTGGCTCCTGGCTTTTGCCTGACCCAGCCCTGACTGTTGCAGCCATTTGAGGACTAAACAAGCAGACGGAAAAATCTCTCTTTCTCTGTAACTCTGACTTTCAAATAAATAAATAAATAAATATTTAAGGAAAAAGCAAACAGGGCCCTCACCAGACACCAAACCTGCTGGCACCCTGATCTTGAACTTGAAGCCTCCAGAAGTTTGAGTGATAAACTTCTGTAAAATTCCATTAGGGGCCAGTGCTGTGGCGTAGCAGGTGAAGCTGCCGCCTGTGATGCCAGCATCCCATATGGGTGCCAGTTTCAAGTTCCGGCTGCTCTACTTCCAATCCAGCTCTCTGCTGATGGCCTGGGAAAGCAGTAGAAGATGATCCAGGTCCTTGGGCCCTGGCACCTGTGTGAGACCCAGAGGAAGCTCCTGGCTCCTGGCTTCTGATCAACACAGCTCTGGCCATTGTAGCTATTTGGGGAGGGAACCAGCAGATGGAAGACACATTCTCTCTGCCTCTGCCTCTCTGTAACTCTGAACTTTCAAGTATATAAATAAATCTTTAAAAAATGCAAAAAAAAAAATTCCATTGGCTGCCTGCTCATTGGCACTTTCACTCCAGCAGCAGGGGCAAGCAAACACCACTGTGACAGAAGTGCCTGTGCGCCCAGCCTGAGGAGGGTCCAGGTCCCCTCGCAGGTGGCGGCCGCTAGGGGGCTTGGTCTCAAGCAGCACTCCCCCCTCCCCCCTCCCCGGGTTGGGGTGGTGTTGGGGGCGGGGCTGGTTCTCTCTGCTGCCACACTGGGTGTGGCTGCACTGTGGGGACAGTGACTTCTCACCCAGGGTGCCAGCAGTGCGGAACTGAGAAGGTCCGGACTCTCAGACATGAACTGTTGGGGCGGGGAGAGCCCCAGGTCTGGCTCTGTCCTGCTTTTCCTGGCACGGACGGAGGGGCCTGGGTCCTGGGGGCAGTCAGAGGCAGGTGCCCCAGGCCCTATCGCTGGTGGCGGCCTTGGTGTTAGGAGTGCTTATTTCTGTCCAGGGGGATCTGGGTGCAGCCTGGATGTCTCTGAGCCTCAGTTTCTCCCTCCATGAGGGTGCATCGTGGTGATGCATCGTGGAGATCACAGAAATCTGTCCTCAGGAGCTCTCCACCCCCCACCCTCACCCCCAGCCCCACCCCCACCCCCAGCCCATACTCAGCGCCACAAATCAGCCCCCTCTTTATTTATTTTTATTTGACAGACTTAGATAGTGAGTGAGAGAGAGAGAAAGGTACTCTCTCCATTGGTTCACCCCCCAAATGGCCGCTCCTGGATGGCTAGGAGCCAAGTGCCCCCTCCCAGTCTCCCACGCGGGTGCAGGGGCCCAAGCACTTTGGCCATCCTCCACCACCCTGGCCATCCTCCACCGCCCTCCCGCCCCAGCAGAGAGCTGGACTGGAAGAGGAGCAACCGGGACTAGAACCCGGCGCCCATATGGGATGCCGGTGCTGCAGGCGGAGGATTAACCTAGTAAGCCACGGTGCCGATCCCCCTCGACGGCCCCCTCTTTAATCCTTGAGTTCAGGATATACCACTTGCGAGGACAGGCAAGGGGCTGGGGCGGGGCCTCGATGAGGGCGGGGCCAAGGCAGAGGCTCCGCCCCTGCCTGCGTCCATCTGGCAGGCTGGGTCCGCTGGCTCCCTGCCGCAGCACTCGGTCCGGTGGCCAGGCCTGGCTCCTCAGTAGCCGGCAGCCTCCCCGGCCTTCCTGGGGTCCGACGCAGCGTGCACACAGGCCCCCTCCTGCCACACGGCCTGGACCACGTTCAGGAAGAAGGGCCGAGGGCTCTGGCTGTGGCCGTGCTCTTGGAGTCTCCTCTGCACCTCCTGCATGGGACAGAAGTTGGGGTTCACAGGGAGGGGCGGCCTGAGCCTTCGGTGGGGCCTCTGGGACCCTCCCACGCAGGCTGAGTGGCTCCTGGGGGCGGGGCTTTCTAGAAGACTGAGCTGGGGCGGGTTTGAATCAAAATGGAGTCGCTTCGGTCAACCCTAAGAAGACAGCAGATAAAGCCGGGAGGTTGTGAAGAAATTTCCTGCGCAGGATCCCCGGTAGCAACTGCCGCGGAGGCCTCTGCCAGGAGCACAGGCCGGGGTGGAGGCCGCACTGCCCTCGACCGGAGGATCTATGGGGCTGGCGTTTGCCTCGGATGGCTGCAAAGGCCGGGGCTGGGGCAGGCCAAAGCCAGGATGCAGGAGCTTCATCCGGGTCTCTCATGTGGGTGCAGGGCCGCAGTGCTTGGATCCCTGTCGGTCATGTGGAGACCCGGATGGAGCGCCAGGCTCCTGACTTCAGCCTGGCCCAGCCCTGGCCATTGCAGCCATTGAGATAGGAGATTCTTTCACTCTCGCTCTCGCTCTTGTTCTCCTGTCTGTAACGCTGCCTTTCAAATAAGAGCAAATAAATCTGTAAAAAGCATACGAGAAGACACGTACCCAGTACTGTCTGTCCCACTTCTCAATGATGTCACCGTGGTGATTAGTCATTTTGGCCCAAGATTATTTCAAAACATCTGATGCAATGCTCCTTGCATTATTTGCTTCTAGGACTTCCCTTCGGCTCATCCTCTCTGAATTTCTCAGGACTCAAACCTCCAGGGACCACTCACTCTACAAACCCATGCATCCTAGGCCATTAACACTCCCCGGCCCGCCACAGCACTCACAGCACCTGTGGTCCTGGACATGTGCGCTCAGAACTCCAGACACTGTTTGGGAAGAGCAGCTTCCCGAGAGGTCACAGTCTTAAGATTGCAGTGCTGAGAACCAACGCCCGCAATCTGAGGTCCCCAGGTGGCATCACACGACCTGGCGGGAGAGCTCGCTGGAGCCAGGCCCCTCCTGGCTGGCACTTTCTCTGTGCCCGATGTGTGAGCTGCCCCACATCCTTGGACTCAGAGGCTGGGGCCCTCACTGAGATCCGGCTCCATTATTTTTTTTAATGAATGAATTTATTTGAAAGGCAGAGTCAAGAGAGGCAGAGGCAGAAAGAGAGAGAGGTCTTCCATCCACTGGTTCACTCCCCAGATGGCCGCAATGGCCGGAGCTGAGCTGATACAAAACCAGGAGCCAGGAGCTTCTTCCAGGTCTCCCATGCAGGTGCAGAGGCCCAAGGACTTGGGCCATCTTCTACTGCTTTCCTAGGCCATAGTAGCGAGCCAGATTGGACATGGAGTAGCCGGGACTTGAACCAGCGCCCATATGGGATGCCGGCACTGCAGGTGTCAGCTTTACCCACTCCGCCACAGCACCGGCCCCTGGGTCCATTCTTGAGAGTCTGCATGCTCAACTTCCAGGACCGTGGGGGAATCATAGCTCCTCTTCCCCCGGGCCCCTGGGCTGCAGCCTTGGAGGGCCCTGGACACACAAGGTCTCCAACCCCGGGGATGAGGATTTTCTCCATGGAAAACTCTAGAATGGCACAGTTTACCACCCAGCCCCTGACTCCTAGCAGAGCTGAGGACTAGGGGTTCGCGAGTCACCAGAGTCTGTTTTAATTCCAGTTCACAGATTGTCCAGATGGTCATCTCCCAAACTCTCAGGGTCCAGGGTCCTCCTCACAGACAGGCAGGTTCTAGGCAGCATAAGGGCCTTCTGTCAGGGACAGAGAGGAAGGGCTTGTCCCACAGACCAGAGCAGGTGCCTGGTTGAGAGTGTGCGAGTCTTTGAGCCCTCAGACCCTAACCAGGGTGCCCAACGAGTGGGATCTTTAGTCTCGGGCTTCCCAAGGAGTGCACATGCCCCCGTTGGCTCACAATGGAGCTGCGTCCTCACGAACATAGCATGCGTTGAAAATGCCATCAATCAAAATCACATTGAGTGGGCAGCGGGGGTGGGGGAGCGGGAGGCATCGTGGCACAGCAGGTTACGCTCCGCTAGGGATGCCCACATCCCAGACCTGAGTGCCTGTTTCAGGCCCCAGCTGCTCCACACTTCCTGCCCAGCTTCCTGCTAAGGTGCCTGGGAGGTAGCTGAGGATCGCCCAAGTCCTCAGGTTCCTGGCACCTGTACCTGGGAGACCCGGATGGAGTTCTGAGCCATTGGCTTTGGCCTTGGTCTGGCCCTGGCTGTTATGGGCATCTGGGGAGTGAACCAGTGGATGGAAGATCTTCCTGGGGGGGAGTTGCTGGCGCTGTGGTGTAGCGGGAAAAGCCGCCAGCTATGGCACCAGCATCCCACGTGGGTGCCAGGTCATGTTCTGCCTGCTCTACTTCCAATCCAGCCCCTATGCATGCACCTGGGAAGGCAGAGGAAGATGGCCAAGTCCTCAGGCCCCTGCACCCACATGGGAGACTGGGAAAAAGCTCTTGGCTCCTGGCTTCAGATCAGCCCAGCTCTGGCCATTGTGGCCATTCGGGGAGTGAACCAGCAAATAGGTTTCTCTCTCTCTCTCTCTGTCTCTGTTTCTCTTTCTCTAACTCTATCTTTTAAATAAATAAATAAATAATTTTTTGAAAGTTTTAAAAAAGGGGCCGGCGCTGCGGCTCAGTAGGCTAATCTTCCACCTTGCAGCACCGGCACACCGGGTTCTAGTCCCGGTCAGGGCGCCGGATTCTGTCCCGGTTGCCCCTCTTCCAGGCCAGCTCTCTGCTGTGGCCTGGGAGTGCAGTGGAGGATGGCCCAAGTGCTTGGGCCCTGCACCTCATGGGAGACCAGGAGAAGCACCTGGCTCCTGCCTTCAGATCAGCGCGGTGTGCCAGGCAGCGCGCTGGCCGCGGCAGCCATTGGAGGGTGAACCAACAGCAAAGGAAGACCTTTCTCTCTGTCTCTCTCTCACTGTCCACTCTGCCTGTCAAAAAAAAAAAAAAAAAAAAGTTTTAAAAAAGGATAGCATTAAAAAAAAGATCTCCCTCTATCTCTGTCACTCTGCCTTCCAAATAAATAAGTAGATAAATAAATAAATCTTTTAAAAATGCAGTTTAATGTCCTAGCCCATGGAACATCAGAGCTTAGCCTCGCCCACCTTAAGTGTTCCCAGAGCACTTCCAGTAGGGAAAATCACCTAGCACAAAGTCTGTTTTAGCATAAGCTGTTGAATATTTCATGTGTTTTATTGACTCTTGCACCGACAGGAACAACAGAACGGCTATGTGGGTGCCGGCTGAATATGCACGTTCAAGTGCAGCGTCTGGGTAGGCATTTGATCTAGCACAATGCTTAGCTCTTGTATGGGGTCCCTGGGGTCAAGGCCGGCTCCAGCTCCTGACTCCAGCTTCCTGCTCATGCAGACCTGGGGAGGCGGTGGTCAAGTGATTAGATTTCTGCCACCCATGCGGGAGATCTGCAGTTCCCAGCTCCTGGTATTTGGGGAGTAACCAATAGCGCTCTCTCTCTCTCTCTCTCTCTCAAATAAATAATACTTTTAAAGATTTTGTTTATTTTTACTTATTTGAGAGGCTTAGTTACAGGCAGAGAGAGGGAGAGACAGAGAGAGGTCTTCCATCTACTGGTTCACTTCCCAAATGGCTGCAATGGCCAGCCAGAGCTGGGTCGATCCAAAGCCAGGAGCCTCCATGTGGGTGCAGGGACCCAAGGACTTGGGCCATCTTCCACTGCTTTCCCAGGCCATAGCAGAGAGCTGGATCGGAAGTGGAGCAGCTGGGACTTGAATCAGCGCCCATAAGGGATGCTGACACTGCAGGCGGAGGCTTAGCCTACTGTACCACAGCACCAGTCCCAATAAATAATATTTCTAAAAAAGAAAAATAAACTACAATACGGTTTCTATTGACTGCATATTTCTTTCACAACTTGGCAAACTCGAGCTGCGTCACTGGCAATCGGGAACTGTCTGTACCACACACACCTCCCCCACCCCGGGCCAGACTAAAGCCCCCAGCTCTGTGACTGTCTGAGTTCCAACGGCCAAGGAAAGTGGCCTCCGGACTGCCAGAGACAGCTTTGAGGCCCTTGATTCCCCAGCTGGTTGACCTGACCCAAGGCTTAAAGTTTGCAGCCTGGAAAACACTGTCAGCCTTTTAAATGGGTGCTAGCAAAGAGTGTGTCCCCTGTGTGGTAGGGGCTGATCCGCCCAGAGAATTCACCAGGGACTTTTTGTAGGGGAGTCGCACAAATGCTTGGAAAAAGAGATACCGACCCACGCCCCAGCACCTCGTGACAAAATCCCCAAAATCACTACAGACGCCCACAGCACCAAAGCAACTCCCGAAAATGAATCCCAAGCCACACAAGGAAGCAAATCACCATCATGGAGAGTGTGTGAGGCCGCAGCTCGAAACACCCGCTCCTGGTCAACTTGAGCAAGACGCCCAGGCCAGAGCCCGGAGTCGGCATCGCCCATGCCCTGCTCTCGGCGGGTGCAAGGAGACAGCTCAGCTCTGCAAAGACAAAGCCTGCCTGGCCTGAAGCTGGGTCCCTCCCCGGGGGGCTTGGAGCAGCAGCGTGGCCTAGGGCAGGGGACTGCCCCAGGTGGGCAGCTGGGACGTGGCCCAGCCCGTGGCCTCACCTGGCTGAAGCTGGGTTCATATTCTACGCGGCCCTGGCTGTTCACGTGCAGGATCGGAGCTGCAATGGCCGCTCCCAGGTCAAAACCAAGCCACAGTTTGTTCACAACAGCCTGCAGGGGAGAGAAAGAAGATACGGAGTGGAAGGGAGGCAGGTGGCGATCCCCACTTCCCCCTCAACCCTCACATCCCAGCCCCCACCCAAGGAAAATTGGAGGACAGGGCCACCCAGAGAGGGGACCCTAGTGCCAGGACCTCCCTTTCCTTCCAACCCTCCCCCTGCGGACTCACCTGGACCACGGCAGATATGATGAGCTCCCCCCCTGCCCCACCGATCACCAGCTTCGACCCCCGGGCTGCATTGATCAGGATGGAAGGTACCATGGACGAAGGGGGCCGCTCGCCTGGAACTGGGGCCGGAGAGGTCAGCCACGGCTTCCCTGTCCCGCCCTCCCCCCAGGGGCGCCACCCACTGGGCTCCATCCGCCATGGAGCGACCACAAAGTGGATGACCCGCCCAGGGGTCGGCTCTGCAGCACCCAGCCCTGGCTGCCTCCGCTCTGCTCCCCCAGGGGTCCCTGTGGGACCTGGGCTGAGGGGGGTGCTGTCCTCACCGGGTGCGGGGGGTTCGCCGGAGCCTGGTGGGCGCCTCCAGCATAGATCCAGGAGTTCATTGTTGAGGAGGACTCCCGTGCGTGGTGAGTAGACCATGGCTCCAAAGCTGCAGGCAGGAGGCAGCCCAGCTCCAACCGCAGCCCTCCCAGCCGCCCGTCCTCACCCGAGACCAACCCAAAGGAGGCCCCCCCAAAATCTGCCTGCACCCCTGCCTGCATCAGGGGCATCTGAGGCAGAGGAGAAATGGAGGTGCTGTCCCCGGGAGCGACCAAGGGAGGGGAGGCCACCGAGGAGCCAAGCAGGAGAGGGGTGGCGGTCAGGCCCCGGGGCGCAGAGCAGCGAGGATCCCCCGCCCGCCCGGCCCAGGCCCACGCACGGCGTGTTGATGGTACTGGTGGCAGACACGGCACTGCCGTCCTCCGCCAGTACAGACACGTGGGAGGTGCCCATGCAGTGGTCCCCGGCCCCGGCCAGGCCGTAATGGCTGAGCTGGTGGTCGCCGCGGTCATCCATCTGCTGGCGGATGAGATGGGCCAGCTCCTCCCCGAGCAGGGCCTGGGAGGCATTCTGGGGAAGGCAGCGTGGGCAGGTGGTGGGCTCAGAGCAGAGGGCAGGATGGGGCTCAGCCTCCTTGGGGGGGCCCTCTCTTGTCTCTTCGCTGTCTGGTGGCCAAAGGGGACCCCCTCCAGCCTTGCTCACCCTCCCCTGCGGGACCTTGAAGATAAAGTGTCACCAGTGCACCTGCTCCCCAGCCTTGCCTAGGCAGCAGCTTCCCTTCCAGACCCCCAGACCTGATGCCGCCCCTCCCCCGCCCCGGCCTCGGACCACTGCTATGTACAGATACCAATCCCCCTGCCTCCTTCTGCCATGCCCGAGCCTCCCTGTACCTGCTGAGCCCCAGGGTCAGGGGAGAGCCCTGGGAAAACTCACCTGTACCTCTGGGTGGCTGCGGGGGTCCCACAGCCGCCACCTCTGCCCCCCAGCAAATTTGAGGGTCTCCACGATGTGGTGGTACATGCTCACGATTCCTTCAGGCCTGGCCAGCAACTCTGCTGAGAGGTTGAACCCTGGTGGGAAGGGATGGGCAGGGCGTATGTGGGCAGTCACCTGTGTAGTAGGTTCCATGTTGCCCCCCGCCCCGCTGTGTCCTAATCCCCAGATCCTATGCACATGGCTCCAGGGTAAACACCACCTTCTGTGGCCAGATGTACTCCACTGAGAATTTTGAGAGGGGACAACAGTCTTGGAGCTTGCAGGCAGGTCCTAAATGTGATCATGTGTGTCTTTTTTTTTTTTTTAAATATCTTTTTGAAAATGTCTTTTATCGCTTGACAGGCAGCATTGTGACGCAGCGGGTTAAAGCCCCAGCCTGCAGTGCCAGCATCCCATATGGGCACTGGTTCACAGCCCGGCTGCTCCACTTCCTGTTCCCTGCTAGTGCATCTGGGAAAGCAGTAGAAGAAGGCCCAAGTGCTTGAGTCCCTGCACCCACGTGGGAGACCCGGAAAAAGATCCTGGCTCTTGGCTTCAGCCTGACCCAGCCCCGGCTGTTGCAGCCATTTGGGGCGTGAACCATCAATTGGAAGATTCTCTCTCTCTCTCTCTCTCGCTCTCGTTCTCGCTCTGCCTCTTCTTCTCTCTAACTCTGACTTTCAAGTAAACAAATAAATCTTTAAAAAAGAAAAAAAAAAAACCAACTTGATTGGACATCCATAGGAGGGGACTTCCAAAAGTCCATGGAAAAGCGGGATGAAAAGATAAATTTATTTTGGTTCTCATAATATGCAAATTCTACGAACTTGTCAAAGATTCCTCTCCCCGTGATCTGTGTAGGGTTTGGTATTATCCAAATCTGGTCCAGTCGGGAGGCGGAGGGCTTGGAATGTTCCCTCCCCCAGGGATAAGGAGAGCAATCGTGTGACCATGGCGGTGGAGAGGAGTGATACAGCCACAAGCCAAGAATGCCGGCAGCCACCAAAGCTGGAAGAAGCAAAGATCAGATGCTCCCTTAGACCCTCGGAGGGAACACGGCCCTGGGGACACCTTGACATTGGGCCTCGGCCTCCCGAAGTGTGCCAGAGTGAGCTTCTATTGTTTTAAGCACTGTCAGCCATGGGCAGCCCCAGCCCTGGGCACTGGACTGTACACTCACGCCCTGACGGGGAGCTATCTGCAGAGTCTCCCAGCTGCCCCCGCCCCAGGCCCTGGGGCTGGGTCCCCTAAGGGGACAAGAATCAGCCCCTTCCACAGCCCTGAGTCGGGTGCAGCCAGGGGCCAACTCTGAAACACACCAGCCAGCCCTGCCTTCTATGGCACATGTTTGTTAAACCAGTTTGTAGAGTAGGGGGCTGGGCTTGGAGCTCACAGCTCCCAAGCCCAGCAGGGCCCTGGAAGGGAGACCTGGAGGCCCTCACCTCTCAGCACGTTGAGGATGAAGCCAAGGATGGCGCCCCCTGCAGGCGGTGGCGGCGAGTACAATGTGAAGTCCCCCAGGGGCACCTGCAGGGCGTCCACCACCTCCGGCTGAAAGGCAGCCAAATCCTGCATGGTCAGCTGGCCTCCTGGGGGTGAGATGGGGAGGGGAAACTGAGGCAGAAAGGGATTAGCCCCTGGCCCCAGGCCATACAGCGGGGGCTCCTCTTGCCCCCCCTAGCCACATCAACCCAGGGGACTGAGGGCAGGTCTATGCACACTGGTGTTAGGTTTAGGGCCACGGAGAACCGGGCGTGGGCAGAGGCAAGCAGGTGCAAGGAGAGGAAGGGGAGGGAAGGAGGAAGGGGGTCAATGCAGCTGCCCAGGCCCCCGCTCTCTAGGTCCAGGGGTCAGCAGTGGCCTGGGCTGTGTCAGAGGTGTGGCCAGTGCTCCTACAAGACCTGCTCTGAACTCCCACGACCCAGAACTTGGCTCTGTCTCCCCCGGGGTGGGGCAATGGGACCCCTGCCCAGCTACCTTGCTTGGCAACATCTTCCACCAACATCCGGCCCAGCCTCCCCGTGTAGAAGGCCTCGGCGCCCTCGGCCGCGACTACCTCCAGGGTGGCGGCCAACGCAGGCCACGGGAAGGGATCATGAGGCTGCAGGGGCTCTGTCCCGTTGAAGAAGAGCTGCCTGGGGGTGGGGAGCAGCCTCAGGGTGGGGCCGGGTCCTGGAGGGACACTCACACTCCTGCCGGGGTTCCCATAGGGTTTGCGGGACATGGGGGGTTCCTGAGGCAGACACTGGTGGGGAGTGGGAGGGACAGCATTTCTAGGAGCAGGTGGAGCTGATGCCCCCTGCCCCATACCTGGCCCTGGCTACAGTGCTGCCCACCAAGGGCCTGTCATCCCCACACCTCTGGGAGGGTCTGGCAGGGCAGGCAAAGGGGGCAGTGGGAGCCCCCCCTTCCACCCTAGATAGGGTGAGAATAAGGCCACGGCCTGAGCAGGTGCACAGCCCTCATGCGTGTCCTTGGAGTCCCATCCTATGGGCACCTGGCCTGAACCCTATCTGAGCCAGGTTCTGCCACGAACCAGGACAGAAAAGGACTGGCCAAGGGCGCCGACCCCTGCTCCGTGCCAAGAGGGACTGTGGCAGAGCTCGGGTTGGGGCCATGGCCAAGGTGAGCCACCCTGGGGACCACTCACCTCAGGGAGGATGCGTTGAGCGAGGGCCGCAGGAAGTCACTGTGCAGGAAGTGGCTGAGGACAGGGGGCACGCGGTAACCCCCACGCAGCAGCGCAATGGTGGGCTGGAACAGCTGCACCCAGGGCAGGCGGCCGTGGCGGCGGTGGGCCTCGGCGTAGCCACGGAGCTCCCCGGGGACCCCGATCCACTGGGACCCTGCACACACACACATGCACACACACACACACGCACACGCACACAAGTACCTGCCCTCAGCTCTGCTGCCCCCACACTCCGCATCCCCTCCCCCGAGCCATGGAGGCCGCAGAAGGCTCCTAGAGCCCGCCTATGGCCATGCCCACCCTGCTCACCCTCCCAGTGCCATCCATGCGAAGCCCACAGAAAAAAATCCACACCAGGCCCACGGACTCCGTACCCACTGGTGCCAAGAAACCCATGCATGAGGCCGGCGCCGCGGCTCACTAGGCTAATCCTCCACCTTGCGGCGCCGGCACACCGGGTTCTAGTCCCGGTCGGGGCGCCGGATTCTGTCCCAGTTGCCCCTCTTCCAGGCCAGCCCTCTGCTGTGGCCAGGGAGTGCAGTGGAGGATGGCCCAGGTGCTTGGGCCCTGCACCCCATGGGAGACCAGGAAAAGCACCTGGCTCCTGGCTCCTGCCATCGGATCAGCGCGGTGCGCCGGCCGCAGCGCGCCGGCCGCGGCGGCCATCGGAGGGTGAACCAACGGCAAAAAAGGAAGACCTTTCTCTCTGTCTCTCTCTCACTGTCCACTCTGCCTGTCGTAAAAAAAAAAATAAAATAACAATTCAAAAAAGGTGCCCATGCATGGCACCAGCCCTGCCTCCACCGACCCCCTCTCCTTGGATCACCCCTCCCCAACTCAGAGGGCCTAGCCCGAGCAGGTGAGGGGCTCCGCATTGGCTCCCCACCCGCCGTGGCAGGCTGGGGCAAGGGACGCCTCGCGGAGCTCACCTGTGCCCAGCGGCAGTGCCTGCTCACAGCCACTCAGCAGGTCAGGGTCGCCGCCCGCTGGCACCGTCTCCCGGGCATTGATGACCTCCACTTTCCCTGGAGTTGGGGCAGATGGGTGAGTGGCCATGCCCCCCAGCCCTCACCCCCACCCCCAAACGGCTGCAGCCCATGGGAAGCCTGTTTCCCCTCCCTGCGCTAACACTCAGGACAGAACCCATCGCCAGGGCATTGAAAGGCAGAGCAGGGGGTGGACGGAGAAGCACTGGGAAGGGGCACGGGCAGACAGGACGGGCTCTCCAGTGGCTGCACCAGCCCGGCCCCCCACAGGCGCCACCCGTGGGCCCACCTGTCGTTGCGTTGTAGATGGTAAACACGACCCCTCCGCCCAGGCCCATGCTCTGAGGGTTGACAACGCCAGTGCAGACCAGAGCAGCGATGGTGGCGTCCACAGGTGAGCCCTGTTGCTGCAGGATGGCCCTAGGGGTCATGGCACAGGGTCACCAACCTGGCGCCCATCCCCTGTCCCTGCCTGGGCTCGCTCAGCTGACACTCAACTGGGGACTAGCGACAGCCTGGTGAGCCACCTGCCACTGCCAGCCCCCATCAGGCCGCCCGCTCCAGTCCAGTCACTCTCTGGTCCAGGGCACTCTACAGTTTGCCAAAGGCAATGCCATTTGCTCTACGCTTTACCACAGAGCTGGTGTTTTTCCGCTTGCAAAGTGCTTCTGCCGCCTGGATAACCTAGCTGCTCTCTGCAGCACCAGCTCATGTGCAACAGGCAGAACCAGGCCTGGGCTACCCCTGCAGGCCCAGGAGCCCACCCAGGACTGCACTCCCCACTTGCTCTGGGGACACGGCACTGCCTCTCCCCTCACACCCAGGAGTCCTCGCCAGTACCTAAGGAAGTCAGTGTTCAAACCCCAGCTACAGAAGGGGAACCAAGGCCCAAAACGGGGGTGGCCCTCAGCTCTCTGCCCCCACCCCGTGGGACCTCTGATCCCAAGCCCCCATGACACCATCAGACCAGTCTCAGTCTGGACCCAAACCCATCCCCAGCTCCTGGGCTCCCTGTTCTGGCCCACACATGGGCACCCTGTGCACACACGTGATCTTGGAGCAGGCATGGAAGAAATAAGGCTGCTAAATATAGCACTAATGCAAATGTATAAAGCACACAAAGGCCTCTCCCCCTCCCCCAGTGCCTTGACTCCCCACCCAACAACTTCCCATCTTCACGTGGTACCCAATGCTGCCGAGCGGCCCCCCCCCCCCCCCCGTCCTTTCTGCATGTGGCTCTGGGACCCTCTGCACTGCCCACCTCCCTGACCTCCCCAGGCTTGGTCCCTGCTCCTTGTGCTTCTGTGTCTCCCCACCCCCACCCCAGTAAGCAGGCTCTGTGCTAATGACCCCCAGCTTGGACCCCAGCCTGGGCCTCTCCCCACCGCTCCACTCACTCAAGAGGGTGCTTTAGGAAGCTCATGGGAGGGGCCAGCGCTGTGGCTTAGAAGGTTAACCCTTCACCTGCTGTACTGGCATCCCATAGGGGAGCTGGTTTGAGTCCGGCTGCTCCACTTCTGATTCCTCCCCGGGAATGAGCCTGGGAAAGCAGCAGAAGATGGCCCAAGTGCTTGGGCCCCTGAAACCATGTGGGAGACCTGGACGAAGCTCCTGGCTCCCAGCTTCAGCCTGGCCCAGCCCTGGCCATTGTGGTCATTTGAGGAGTGAACCATGCACTTCGTGAAGTCCCCTGGTGGACTCAGCACCCACCAGGACCTGGGCTCCACACAGCTGCTTTCTGTCTCGGCTGTCTCAGAGAGGGACTCCGTCCTTCAATATTTTAAAAAATGTATGTATTTGAAAGGCAGAGTGACAGAGAGAAAGAAGGAGAGAGAGAAAGAGAGATCTTCCATCTGCTAGTTCAGTGGCCGAAGGGGGAGCTGGGAGGGGTGCTATTAGCCTCCCCCGGTTCACAGATGGTGCTCACTCCAGCAGTCAGTCGACAACCAGAGCCTGAGCTCCCTGCCCTGCGGCCCAGCTGGACTGGATGAAGGGGACCCGAGTTGCAGAAGCCTAGGTCTGATACTGTTTTTGGCAGTTCTTAGTCACACCCTGCCGGGAAGAACCAAATGCACTGAACCAGTGCACCACTGTCGGGTGGCCCCTTGGGTCTGGCCTTTGCTGAGGGCCCCCCGGGCTGGGTCACTTGCCAGGGGAAGTGCGTGCCTGGGAGAGAGGTCACCTGGCTGAACCGGAAGCTGGAGAGAGGGAAGGAGACTGCCCACTCTTACCCCCTGTCTCAGGACCAACTGGGGACCCAGGAGAATGGCCCTAGTCCCTTCAGAGATCAGAGTCCCCAAGGCCTTCATCACTTCCCGCTGGGCCCCAACTCTGAAAGGTCTCCCCCTACCCCCGCTTCTAGACATTGGCATGATGGGGACTGTGCGTCCAACCCTGGGGCGTGAATCCCACCCAGACCACAGCACCAAGCAAAGGAGAAGTGAAGACAGAAGGTCTGAAGCCAGGAAGCAGCCACAGATGAGCTGATAACCCCCTATAGGATGTGCAGATGGTGAAACTGCTGGACCACAGACTTTAAAACAAAGACAAGGGGCCGGCGCCATGGCTGACTTGGCTAGTCCTCCGCCTGCAGTGCCAGCATCCCATATAGGTGCCAGTTCTAGTCCTGGTTGCACTTTTCTAGTCCAGCTCTCTGCTGTAGCCTGGAAGGGCAGTGGAGGATGGCCCAGGTGCTTGGGCCCTGCACCCACATGAGAGACCAGAAGAAGCACCTGGCTCCTGGCTACGGATCGGCACAGCTCCAGCTGCGGCGGCCATTTGGGGGGTGAACCAACGGAAGGAAGACCTTTCTCTCTGTCTCTCTCTCTCACTGTCTATAACTCTACCTGTCAAATAAATTAAAAAAAAAAAAGACAAAATCAGAAATTTTAAAAATTATTGATTGATTTTTGCTTTGTTTGAAAGGCAGAGAGAGAGATCTTTACAAAAATTATTTCCTATGTGTTCAAAAATGTAGATATGATTGTGTAATTTATTTACAACACAGCAGCAAACCCAGCTCTGTCTGGTGAACACATGGTCTGGTCCATTAAAGTTCACCCTCGAGTCGCCATTGTTCTGGCTTCTTGATCCTTTTGCTCTCTGCTTTGTTAGATTTACCTATTTGAAAGGCAGAGGGACAGAGAGAGAGAGAAAGAGATCTGCCATTACCTGCTGGTTCACTCCCAAGACGGCTGCAAAGCCCAGTCCATTTGGGCCAGGTCAAACCTGGGAGCCTAGAACTTCATCCAGGTCTTGCTTGCGGCTACAGGGGCCCAAACACTGGGACCATCTTCTGTGACTTTCCCAGGCTCATTAGCAAGGAACTGGATAGGAAGTGGGGCAGCTGGGTCTCAAACCACTGCCCACGTGGGATACTGGCTGAACCCACTGCACCACAGTGCTGGCCCCCAAAGGGCAGGATTTCCATGTCACCACATTACCCTAAAACTAACTATCAGAGGAGCCAACAGAAGATATGCAGAAAATGTAGCAGAAAGCGTGTTACGTTTCATAAGTATCTCCTAATTATATGATACTTTGAAAAGTTTATGGGAAAATGGGAATGAAAACTGTGAGTTTACGGCAGGTGTTTGACCCAGCTGTTGAGGTGCCCCTAGGGATGCCTGCATCCCACTGAGGTTTGGGTTAGAATCTCAGCTCCTCTCCTGATGCCAGCTTTTTTTTTTTTTTTTTTTTTTTAACAGGCAGAGTTGATAGTGAGAGAGAGAGACAGAGAGAAAGGTTTTCTTTTTGCCGTTGGTTCACCCTCCAATGGCCGACGCGGCTGGTGCGCTGCGGCCGGCGCACTGTGCTGATCCGAAGGCAGGAGCCAGGTGCTTCTCCTGGTCTCCCATGGGGTGCAGGGCCCAAGTACTTGGGCCATCCTCCACTGCACTCCCGGGCCACAGCAGAGAGCTGGCCTGGAAGAGGGGCAACCGGGACAGAATCTGGCGCCCTGACTGGGACTGGAACCGGGTGTGCCGGCGCCGCAGGCGGAGGATTAGCCTAGTGAGCCACAGTGCTGGCCCAGGCTTCCTTTAAATAAAGTCAGAGTTACAGAGAGAGAGAGAGGGAGAGAGAGAGAGAGGGAGAGAGGGAGAGAAGGAGAGAGATCTTCCATCCACTGGTTCACTCCCCAGATGGCTGCAACAGCCAATGCTGGACCAAGCCAAAGCCAGGAGCCAGGAGCTTCATCCAGGTCTCCCATATGGGTGGCAGGGACACAAACAGGCCATCTTCCAGTGTTTTTCCCAGGAGCATTAGTAGAGAGCTGGATGGAAAATGAAGCAGCCGGGACTTGAACCGGCGCCCATATGGGATGCCAGTGGTTTTCTGCTTTTGGTCTGACTCAGCTCAGATGTTGAAGGTATTTGGGGAGTGAATTAGCAGATGAATGATCTCTCTCTCCCTTTCAAATAAAATGAAAATAAATTAAAAAAAATTTTTTTAAGGGACCTGGATGGAGTTGCCAGTTCCCAGGCATTTGGAGGTGAATTGGTGAACGGACGCTCTCTGTCACTGCCTGCCTGTCTGTCTGCTTCTCCCTGTCCATCAGTCTGTCTCTCAAATAAAATAAATAGGGGCCGGCATTTGGTAAAGCTGGCTAACCATCTGCAACACTAGCATCCCATATAAGCAATATGGCTCAAGTCCCGGTTGCTCCATTTCCAATCCAGCTCCTTGCTAATAATGCACCTGGGAAAGCAGTAGAAGATGGCCCAAGCACTTGGGTCCCTGTACCCACATGGGAGACCCTGATGAAGCTCCTGGCTCCTGGTTTCAATCTGACCCAGCCCCAGCCATTGCGGCCATTAGGAGAGTGAACCAGTGAATGGTTCACTGTCTCTCTTTCTCTCTTTGAAACTTTGCTTTTCAAATAAAGGTGTTTTTTTTTTTTTTTGCATTGAAACAAACTTATATTTTTAATTCAACTGGCCAACTACTTTTTGAAGTATCCTGGTGTAAAGACATTAGTATTAAAGTAACCAGTGGAACAAAACTACAAGTCATTCTAGTTATCAAAAACTGTAACAAAAAGAGAAAGTAATACCTTTGCTTGCTTTTGCAAAAGGAAACACAGAAACACCAAGTACAAAGAAATGAAAACAGAAAAGCAGAGAGGAAAGAAACAGAAACAGAAATGTTCAAAAAGAAGAATGAAACACAGGAAAAAGAAACCAGAAACTAATATAAATGTTCCCTTTAGCAAAGAGTGCGCAGAAACCCACTCACATGAGTGGGAGGAAGACTTTTCTGTTATTTATTTATTTATTTTATTTTTGACAGGTAGATTTATAGACAGTGAGAGAGAGAGAGAAAGGTCTTCCTTCCGTTGGTTCACTCCCCAAATGGCTGCTACAGCAGGCACTGCGCCGATCCGAAGCCAGGAGCCAAGTGCTTCCTCCTGGTCTCCCATGCGGGTGCAGGGCCCAAGCACTTGGGCCATCCTCCACTGCCTTCCCGGGCCACAGCAGAGAGCTGGCCTGGAAGAGGAGCAACTGGGACTAGAACCCGGCACCCATAAGGGATGCCAGTGCTGCAGGCAGAGGATTAACCAAGTGAGCCATGGGACCGGCCCCCAACTTTTCTGTTTTTAAGATTTATTTCTTTATGTGAAAGACAGAGAGAGAGAGAGAGAGAGAATCTTCTATGTGCTGATTCACTCTCCGAATTAGCAACAGCTAAGGCTGGGGGAGACCAAAGCCAGGAGCCAGGTGCTTCCTCTGAGTCTCCCACGTGGGTGCAGGGGCCCAAGGACTTGGGCCATCCTCTGTTGCTTTCCCAGGTGCATTAGCCAGGAGAGCTGGATCAGAAGCTGAGCAGCCAGGACTGGAACTTGTGCCTGTATGGCACATGCGATGCCACATCGCAGGCAGCAGCTTAATCTGCAGCACCACAGTGCTGGCCCCGAGAAGGAGACTTTTGAAGATACCTTTTTATATACTTGCAATTACAAAATAATAAATAGGGGCGGCACTTGCCACGTGGTGGTGCGAATGAGCTAAGCTGCTCCCTGCAACGCTGGCATCCCAGTTCAAGTCCCGGCTGCTCCACTTCTGACCCGGCTTCCTGCTAATGCACCTGAAGAAAGGAGCTGAAGATGGCCCAAAGTACTTGCACCCTGCCTCCATGGAGTTCCAGGCTCCTGGCCCAGCCTGGGCTATTGCAGCCGTAGCGACGTGAAACCATACGATCGCAATTCCGTCTCTCCCTCTCTCTGTCACTCTGCCTTTTGAAATAAATAAAATTTAGAAAAAAAAAATCATGACTCCATGTGCTATGCCACAAACACACAGGGGTGTGGCCCAGTTCCCAGCTGTGTAACACTGGGCTCCTGTGACTCAAGTCCCTGAGCCACACTTCTCATCCAGAGGGAGGTACCAACATGAGCCCATCTCACAGAGAGGCAAACTGAGGCTCACAAGGTGCAGCTCTGCTCTGCCCTGCACCAAGAGAACCGCTTGCAGGCACTAGACGGGGATGGAGCAGCTGACAAAAGCCGACTCTAGGGGCCCCATCTGTGCCCTCAGCCTGCAGCTCAGCGCCAGCCCAGACCCCCATGCCCAAGACATCTGCTCCCCGTGTGCTGGCCCCTCCCCAACCACCTTCTCCACTGTGCTGCAGCTCGGGGGTCCAAAGTGAGTGGTAGGGGCACTGCGGGGAGGGCTCTGGGAAGCCCTGATCCCTCCCCCCACCCCTGGAAGAGAAACAAGCCCCAGCTGGGATCTCACTGGGACCCCTTTCCCTGCACAGATGGGACAGGGAAGCTTCCTGCCCAGGACCGCGTGGCAGGGCACACAGGTCCAAGTGGCCTCGGCAGACAGATGTCACAAAGCCCAAAAGACGTTTGCCAACAAGCAACCTGCTCGGAGCCTGGGAACACTCGGTGTGCACATTGGCACGGGAGCATTATACCAATATCACCAATATCACCATGCCTTAAGATCCCTCTGCCAGGGGCTCTGGCCCAAGGAGAGAAGCTGGAAGAAGGCTGGGCTCTGGTGACGAGAATGCGGGGGAAGAAAGAGAGAGGGGCCCAAGGCAGGAAGTGGGGGGGTGCCCCAGGGACCCTGCCAGGCGGACTCCAGGCAGCCTTGCCCCAGGGCTCCTAATCCTTGCTCTGCAGCTGCTGGGGCTGACCCCAGGCTCCCGCCCACCCGTGGCTTCTTCTTAAAACAAGAACAGGAAGCAGAGAGAGAGGGAGAGAGAGGGAGAGAGAGCAGGAGAGAGAGAGAGAGAGAGAGAGAGAGAGAGAGAGATTGTTTGGCAAAAACTGTTCCCTTCCCCAAATGGGATCCTGCAGGAATGTGGGGTGGAGACCCCAGCCCCTGAGCCTCACGCACACAGCCACACAGCATGGAGACACAGCTAGCCCCACGGGGAGATACAGGGCAGCAGCCCCCCACTCCGGGGACCCTCATGCTTTGGTGGGCAGCTCGGGGACACCGCGCCCCTCCCCACACACACACCAAGCCCTCTCCTCCCCCATTCTCTTTTGCAACTGTACCACATCTTGGCCCACAGGGCAGGGGCAGTCCCTGGATGGCAGGTGGGCTCCCGTCCTCTCGCCCTGCCCATGCCACGCCCCTGCCATCCCCCGGGGAAACCAAGCAGCAGCCGGCTCCCACCTGCCTCTGAGCTGCCATCCTCAGCTAGGGCTGGGCTAGGAGCAGCCCTGAGGGAGGGGGCAGTGAGCCCTGAAGGAGTACAGAGGATCCAGGCAGGAGGCTGGGGTGAAGAGAGGACGAACGGGAGGTGAATGAGTTGGCAGGTGCAGTAGCACAGGTTAACCTGCTGCTCGGGACGCCCCAGGCCTGGCTGCTCCACCCAGCCCAGCTCCCCGCTAATGCACCTGATGGTTCAAGTGCTTGGGCCGCTGCTACCCATGTGGGAAACCCAAATGGCAGTTCCTGGCTCCTGGCTTCGACCTGGTCCAACCCCGGGGCGTTGTGAGCATTCGGGGAGTGAATCGCTCAGTAGATAGCAGGTAGCTTTCTCTTGGTCTTTCAAATAAACAAATAAATAAATAAATAAGCCGACAAGGGGACATTGAGTCTGCTGTGCCCAGCCATACGCCCCCTCACCCCCACCTCAGGAGTGTTCCCTCCAGGTTTACAAAAGCACTGAGCATTCTCACAATGGCCTCTAAAGCAGAACTTCTGGGAAGCAATGACTGGGTTGGCAGGAAGGGAATGCATGCCCCAGCAGGAGACAGGAGGCAGGGAGGGGCTTCCTGCCCTGTCCCCGCCCTGCTGTGGGCAGTGAGGCCTCCCATGGGCTGGACTTCCTGGAAAAGGCCAGATGTCGTCCCTCTCTACCCCGCTGCCCCAGCCGGCCACACACCAGTCACTTGGCTTGGGCCTGATTTAGGAAGGAGGCTGGAGAAACAGGACATCGGCTAGGGCTGCCTTTCCAGGTCTGAGAGGTGATGCAGACACGGCCCCGGGCTGCAGGGGACACGGCCCAGGGCAGCGCATGTGCACTGCCAGGCCCCTGAATCCCGCTGGCCACGCATCTAGCATCTAGCAGAAGGGCTCAGCCTTGGAGAACTGGGACAGCCTCGCCAAACACATCGGCGCCAGTCCTCCGTGTCAGGCTGGGTCACTGCGGTGTGACCCCTCTTAGGATCTCCATTTCCCACCCATGGTGCAAAGAGAGCCCTAGAGCCACCACCTCTGCCAACACTGCCATTGCTTCATGGGCGTCTCTGCCACCTGGGCAGTGCAAAGGCCCTGGGGCTATCTCCTTGCATCCAACTTTGGCTGGTGCAGGAGCCCAAACCCACACAGCCCCACATGCATATCCTCACCTTCTCCACACCCTCATCATGGGTCACAAACTCTCCAGAGAGCACCCACTGCACAGGGCCACCCAGCCTCCACCTACCTCTCACTCACCGTCCAATGTCGGAGCAGACCTTGGAGTCAGCAGCTACCGCAGCGTGGGCAAAAGCCTTGGGGCCGCAGCGGGCGCGGTGGCGGGAAAGGACCACGGCTGGAACAATGATGGCCAGCGCCAGGGCCAGCCCGAGCAGGACGAGGCTGATGGTGGCACCGCGGCCCCAGGCCATGGCTCTGTGGCTCAGCGGGAGAGGGGAGGCAGGTGGGCAGATGTGCCAGCAGATGGACAGACAGACAGGTGAACAGAGAGGGAGATGTGCAGGTGAGCTCACAGATGACCGGACAGGTGGACAAGGACAGGTAGCAGGTGGGTCAACAGGCAGGACAGCAAGACAGGGAGGACAGATGGACACCTGGAAAGAGATGGACTTACAGGCGGCTGGACAGACAGGCTCAGAGATGGACAGCAGGCAGGCAGGTGGGAGGGTGGAGGGAGCGCTGGTGGCCAGCAGGGCTGCCGCCTCCCCGAGTGCTCGCTGCAGAGCAGAGCTGGCCGAGCGCATGCACTTCCAGTTCTCAGCCCCTGCTCTCGGCCCTGGCTGGAAGCCAGGCAACAGGCGGCCGTGGGGAGTTTTTCCTTGTAGAGAGGAGCAAGCTGCTGTGGTTAACTCCCTCACTGCCCGGGCGTCCCACGGCCAGTCCTGCTGGCCCGCTGGCGCCAGGATCACCCCATGCCATCGAGTCTGTGCACTTGGCGCCTGTGGCCAGAACCCCAAGGATCCCGCTCCCCGCTGTCTCCGAGCACCCACTCCAGAAAGCAGAAGGGGGCTGCTCTCTAGCTCCCCCTGCTGGACCAGGGAGGCAAGGCCAGACACCCCTCCTCACTCCCGCAGAGGGGAGCCGGCATCCCAATTCCCACCCTCTCTCATTGTGGCCGTGGCCAAGGGAGCAGCAAATTCGGGTAGGAGGTAGGCGTGGCTCAGAGACAGAGGGAGGGCGACTGGACAGGAGTTCAAGTCTCAGCCTGGCTGGGCCTGCAGTCCTGTGGGTGACCCCGAGGGACCTCAGCTCCCCCTCTCTGCAGAAGGGAGCAGGCTGACTTTTGTCACCCCTGTAGGAGCGTAGACAGGCTGTGCGCCCAGCCCTGGACACCCAGTTCCACAGTCCAGGAAATACAACCTCCCCAGGGACTGCAGCCCTGCCCGCCCCAGCCGTTCCTCGTTTCCTGGGGACGGACACAACCCAGCTAGGCTGCCAGGCCCCTGTGCCCAGAGCCCTCAGCCAGCCTGCGCCAGAGAGGCCATCTGGGGTGGGCCTTCCGGGAAAGCCTGTTCCCACGGTGTCTCCTCCCGCCCCCCACCGACCCCCAAGCCGCAGTGACATTGCTCAACCTGGAAGCAAAGTGCATTCCTGGGCTGGGCCAGCCCACTCACCCACCACAGGCGACAGAACCCACAGGCAGGGCAGGGGGTGGGACATCCCCTCTCCTCTCCCCAGCCATCCTGGGGAGGCAGAGGCCACGGTACAAAGGCCCAGGGGAGGGAATGAGCCGTCATTTGAGGCCCCATGCTGGGCCCTGCCTGTCCTCAGCTAGGGGGGGACTATGGGAGGAATTCAGGCCCTCAGCCTGGGGGGTGGGGGGGGCTACCCTCCCATCTGTCCAGCGGGAGCCTCCTGGCCAGCACCACCCCAGATGCTGCTGTGCAACCCGGGCCTCAGTCTACAGCTCTGTAAATGGGGCCATGGCTCAAATAATGAGTGGAAAGCAGCCATAGCCCACAGCCCAGCCTCCATCTCATCCCGAGGAGCCCCAGAGATGAGCGCTGCAGGGCCCCAGGGTCGGATCCGGAGGTGCACTCTGCAAACCCCAGGTCTCCAGGTGCCCCGGGGTCTCCAGCCCCTGCACGGGCCCTCGTGGATTTCCCATGCTCCCGAAGGAACGCCCAGATCTGGCCTCCGCGGTGGGGCCGTGTGGTGGCAGTGTGTGAGGCTGGGGTCCGCAGACCCCTCTGGGGGTGGGGGTGGGGGCCAAGGAGCTGCGCCTGGCCCTTGTCTCTCAGACTCTTTCCCCTGGGCAGGCAGCCTGGGGCCCCTTTCTGGAACCCATCACAAGCTTGGGTCCCACTCCGGGCTTAGGCTTGGAAAGCACCCCGGGTACTGGCTCTGACCGAGCTGTTTCGCTCCAGCCTCTTGCCCAATCGCCACTCCTTAGACCCCAGCTTCACCTCCTGGTATCCTAGGACAGGCTGGGCCTGGACACCCACGCGGAGGTCCCTGTGTTCCCAGCATTAGTTGGCCGCCCTCTGTCCAAGTCAACGCCAAAGCCTCAGCGCCCCCTGGTGGCCAATACTAGGATGCGTTACTACGCCGCCCAGGGAAAGGACGGCTTGGCCCATGGTCCCCGGACTCAGGGGAGAGGAAGTGGACAATGCTCTCCTGAGAACACCAAGGCTTGCTCCAGCTCCCACAGGTCCAAGATCTCCAACTCCCACCTTCCGCTCTCCCCCTGCCAGACGGCTCCATTGCACACACAGGACGCTGAGGCCCAGAGAGTGGGGGTCGGGCCAGCGAGGCTACCCAGAGCCTGGCACAGCACCCCCAATTTATTGCATTGTTCTGCTGCTCACAGGAGAGGCACTGTCCCCAAAGTCCCACTCCTGGGCCTGGCATGGATCTGGTCCCTGGGCCACCGGTCTCCCTGGGCACTCAGTAGCCGGCTGGTTCTCCACCTTTCCTGGAGTCGGAAGCAGCTGCCCAGCCGCTGGCCGTGCGCACGATGGCCTGCACCACAGCGATGAACCCGGACGTGATCTGGGTCTCGTGGCCCCGGCCATTCAGGTCTGTGATCACCGCCTTGGGGGGGGGGGGGGAGAAAGGCGGCTTCAGGAGGCCCCAATGCCTCAGATGGCGCCTGTGGGGTCATGGGCCTTTGAAGACATAGGTGGGGCCATTTCTAGCCAGGTAACCAGGAAGGGCAGTTTGGAGGCACCCACTAGAGCAGGTGTCGGCCCTCATCCTGCAGAGGCTCAGAGTAGCCCCGGCAGGAGGCACAAGGACACACCACTCTTTGCCCACTCCCTGACCTCCCAGGGAGACCCAGGTCTCCAGGCCAGGCTGCCCTGCCTGCCCTCCCATGACTCTGCCTCCCAGGCCCCGCCCACCTGATCAAAGTCCTTCTCCAGCGTCGTGGTGTTGGGTAGGAGCTGATTATGTAGCCGGGGCTCCTCCACGGCCCGCTTCACGTCATAGCCAAACCACAGGTTGTGGATGATGGCCTGGGAAGGGTGGACAGGGGTGGGCCTGTGGTCAGCGCGGCCTGGGGGCGGGGCTGCGGAGGGCCGGCGGACGGGGCGGGGCACATACCAGCGCGGTGGCCGTGGTGATCTGCGTGCCCCCCGCGGCGCCCACCACCATCTGCACCTGACCGTCAGGGCCCACAACGACCGTGGGGCACATGGACGAGAGCGGCTGCTTCCCTGGGGCCCAGAGGAGGAGACAGGGACAGCAGTCAGCCGCCCGGCTGCCTGCCCGGCCTGTCCGCGCACAAAGGCTGCCAGCCCCTTCCCAGACCCGCGTCGCTACCCCCGCACCTGGCCGGATGAAATTGGCCGGCGAGGGTGACACCCCAAACTGGTTGGTGATGTTGGGGGAGCTGAAGTCGTCCATCTCGTCATTGAAGAGGATCCCGCTGACTCGCGAGAGGATCTTGGAGCCGAAGCTACAAGCGGGGACCAGGTCAGAGCAGCTGGGCGGGACCCCACCCCCACCTCCGCCCAGCCTGGCCCTACCCACCCCTCCAAGCTGGGAGGCCTCAAGGAAGGGGGTGGGGGAAGCCCCCGGCCCACTGCCCAGCCCCCACCAGGCAGTCCTACTAGAGGTTAATGGTGCTGGTGGCAGACACGGCACTGCCTTCCTCATCGACCACGGACAGGTGGGCGGTGCCGCCGCCATCGGGCGTGTAGTACTCCGGCTCGTAGTAGGCGGTCTGGTGAGTGGTGTTGGTGATTTGGGCCCGTAGCTGAGCGGCGTAGAACTCGGAGCTCATGTTGGAGATCACCTGCCGAGACCCCAGAGCTGGCCTGAGGAGGTGGGGGGGAGGGAGGGCGGGGAGGGGGCACAGGGTTGTCGAGCAGGCGTCAGGTAGTCCCCAACCGACCGTGGCTCCCCGTCTCAGCCCTCCTGTGCACCCCGCACCCTCGGGGCTCCCCAGGGTCCAGGGCTGCACAGGGCCCCTTAGCAGCCTGTCCCTGTCACCGTCCAGCAACTTGGAATGTCCCTGTGTCCCTCAGGCCTCCAGACCCGCCACAGGGAGTCCATTCGTTCATGCAGTCACAAAGGGGACTTCAAAAGGCTCATGGGAAACTGAATTATAGGTAAGTTTAGCGGTTAGCTTTGTGGTCTGACAAGTTAAGCCGCTGCCTGCTATACTGGCCTCCCATAGGGGCGCTGGTTCGAGTCCTGGCTGCTCAGCTTCCCAACCAGCTCCCCGCTAATGCACCTGGGAAAGCAGCAGCAGATGACCCAAGTGCTTGGGCCCCTGCACCCACGTGGGAGACTCGGAAGAAGCTCTTGACTCCTGGCTTCCGTCTGGCCCAGCCCTGGCCATTGCGGCTATCTGGGGAGTGAACCAGCAGATAGAAGACCTCTCTCTCTCTCTCTAACTCTATCTCTCAAGTGAAAAAGGACTTTTTTTTTTTTTTTAAAGATAAGTGTATTTGGGACCCAAACATATTGAAATCCACATATAGGTTTTTCTTAATACGCTTTTCCAATGAACTTCTCGAAGATCTCTCATATGCATGCATTTTAAAAACCTGGGGTGGGCTAAACTGGCACATGGGATGCCCCCACCCCATATCATAGATCCTTGCCCTCACAGTGGCAGAGAGCAGAACCAAGCAGGTAAGCTGCTGCAAACCTCAAGTCAGAAAGGAGGGGGTGGAGAGGGTGATCAGAGAGGGCTTCCTAGAGGAGGTGACATTTGCAAGGAGACCAGAATGAGACATAAAGGATAAATGCAAAGCCCCTGAGGTACAGTACAGGCCTGTGAGTGACAGGCAGGGAAGGAAATGGGTGAAGGGAGAGGGGTTAGAGGAGGCAGGCCAGGGACTTATAAGGACACTGACTTCTGCTCTGAGCTAACCGGGCTTGGAGCCAAAGAGAGCGAGCCAGGGGCGTTCCCACAGGGTCCTGCTAGTGGCTCAGACGCGCAAGAGATCATGGTGGAAGCCTCGGGAGGGAAACACTGGGGTGGGGCGGGCGCCTGTCGCACACCCAAGGACCCAGGGGTGTGGAGTTCACAGGCAAGGTCGGGCCGGAGACGTTGGTCCTCAGGCAGCTGCTCAAAGCCATGGGGTCCTCAGGGCTGAGAGGAGAGGAGGGGCCTCCGGAGGCTGAGCACAGAGCCCCCCCACCCACACCCCAGGGACTCAGTGACCAACTCAAGGAAGCCCAGGGAATGGAAAGCCACGCCCTTGTCCTTGGAAACTCCCAGAACAGCCAAAGGTCTGTTCCAGGCTGAGAGACTCAGAGAGACGTCATGGCAGAATCGCCAGGGGGACTTGAGGGGCCCCTGGAACCTAGAGGACACGGGGACCCTCGGGGACGCGCTGATGGGGGCGTGTGAAGCGCTCCTAGCTCCGGCAGGTGATACGGCCGGAAGTGTGACATCGGCCACTGTCACCAGCTGGGGAAGAGCAGGTGTGTGGACAGAGACAGGTGGAGACGGACAGAGCAAGGTGGCAGAGCGGGAGCGGGGCCAGGGGTTCGGGTTCGTTTTGTCTGCAACAGCCTGGATGGGCTGCAGCCGGAAGGTTCTAGAACAGCAGCCTGCCTTTCCCATGGAAATGGCCCTTGTAAACAGGAAGCGTGGCTCCGAGCAGCAAGGGGGTGCAAGGGCTGGGAGGGAAGGCACAGCCGGGGACAGAGACAAGACGCCAGGCAGCACCAGCCGGAGGGGACAGAGACGCAGAACCCATCTGGGTGCTGGGAGGGGCTGTTGGGCAGCGGGGGCCCTCCCCGGGTGAGTCAGAGGTCAATGTGGGGGGAGGGAGGGCACAAGTCCACCTTGGAATGCCAGGCACCCTGGCACGAGGGCCTCCGACATGATAGCTGGAACCACTCCCCACCTCTACCCCGCCCCAAGCATCATCCACTCCCGAATCTCCTGGGCCAAGGGCATAGCATGAGCAAAGGCCCTGAGGTAGGAACACGGCCAGAACAGGGAGCACCGATCACCCACTGTCAAGTCCGTCTGCCCCCAGCTGCCACCCCCGTAGCACAGGGCAGAGACCCCAGGACCAAGGGCCACCGAGCCCATCTCCCAGCACACAGTAGGTCTGCAAGCAAAGCTTGTTGCAGCAATGGATGAGGCTGCGGTGGTCTTGGGAGCTCATTCTCCATGGGCCTCCGCCCCTTACCTTGGTCACGTCCACAAACTTGGGGTCCCCGAGGAGGGTCCTTTTGGCGTAGGCGAACCGGAAGGCCTCCACGATGCGGTGGTACGTCAGTGCCTTCTGCTTGGGCGTCCCCACGCTCGCCGGGGAGAAGTTGTACCCTGGGGGGTCAGAGCCAGGGGCCCGGAGAGAGCTCAGCAGGCTGAAGGTGTCCCAAACCAAAGGTTGCTAGGCGGTGAGGTGGTGAGGCCTGGGCCAATGGGGGAGGGGGAGGGGGTGTCACAGGCCCCTCCCTCTGCCGGGGTGGGGGCGGGGCCGCTCACCTTTGAGGATGTTGAGGATGAGGGCCAGCACGGGCCCGCTGAGCGGGGCGCTGGGCATGTACAGCACGGAGTCGCCAAGGCGGATGCTGAGCGGGTTCTCAATGAGCTCGGCCTGGTAGTTGTTCAAGTCCTCGGCTGTGAGGATGCCTCCTGCAAGCAGTGGGGGCCAGGGCCAGGGTGGCCCGTGGTGGGGGACGGAGCTGCACCAGGGGAGCGGGGAGGCCTGGGTACACTCTAAGCGGGGTAGGGGAGCCCTGGCCACCCCTGGAGGGCCTGCCCACTGGTCCACCTGTCGGGCACAGCAGTGCAAAGGCCCTGAGGTAGGTAGCTACCTATTGTCAAGTCTGTCTCCCAGCCCCTCTCTCCTCCCTGATGGTGCTCAACACTCATGGCCAGACGCATGGCTGCCAACCTCCACCTGCCCGGCTCACTGGCCTCTTCTACTCGCTCTGGCTGCAGGGTCTCTCCTAAGTGTAGGCCACCATCTTCCCCCGGCCCTGGGAAGCAGCCCCAGGCCTCAGCATCGGCAGAAAATGTGATAAGCTTATCCCCGCCTCTGTGAAACACTAACAAGATGACCCTAGAAAGCAGCCACTGCCACGCCCCCACAGGCCCCTCCAACTCCTCTGGCCAAAGCCACCCCCATCCCTCCTTTCTCTCCGGAGGTCTCTCTCCCCTGCTCTGAGTCCCTTCCTCTCTCTGCTTGACCAAATCACGTGTAGCCCAGGCACCACTTCCTCCAGAAAGTCCTCCTGGCTCCAGCTTCCACCTGCTGCACGGTTTTAGGCGGCTGGGTCTGGGAGGGAGGGTTGGGGAGGCTTCGCCATGGGGTCCCAAGGCCGCCTTGCTCACCAGCTTCCTGGATGTCTTTAACGATCTGGGCTGTGAGGCTGCCGTTGTAGAAGGCCTGGGCGCCCTCGCGGGCCAGCGTCTCATAGGTGTCGGCCAGCCGCGCCATGATCACGGTCTCCCCTTGCTGGAGCACCTTCCCATTGCGGCAGAACACCTCGCTGCGGCAGAGGCGCCCCCGTGAGGCCGCAGATGGGGCAGACCCGGCCGCACCACCTCCCCCACCAGCGAGGACAAAATACAGCCAGTGCCTGTCAGAGGCGGGTGGCGCCATCACTCAGACACACGGCCCGCCTCCAAGCAGCACAGGGCTTAGAACAAGGGACCCATCTGTGCTCTGCCCGCGGACGCACCACAGTGCAGGTGTCGCCTCGACCACGGCCTGGCTTCGGATCAGCGCTGCCGCCAGCCCCTTGCCCACCGGGAAGCCGTAGCGAGCCAGCTGGATGCTGGGCTGGAAGAGCCGAGCCCAGGGCAGCCGGCCGTGCCGCTGGTGCGCCAGCTCGTAGCCGCGGATCTCGCCGGGCACTGCTACCGACAGCCCGCCTGGGGAGACAGAACACTGCGTTAGTGGCCGCGCGCAGCAGGTGCACGGCGGGAAGACTAGCGGGCACACATTCCCCGACCCATTTCATAGACAGTGTCAGTGAGGCTGGGAAGGACCAGAGGTGTTTAAGGTCCACTCTGGGCTGGGCAGGCAGCACGCAGAACAGGGCACAGGACGGGGGAGATGGTAGCATGCATGGGTTCCTGTGGGTCTGGGGTTCTGTATCAGCCCTACAGAGCCACAGCCACACCCTTCGCGCTCAGAGCCCCCAGCCCAGGCCCAGGCTTTTCTGTTGTGCTGGCACTGAGACATGAGCCCCAGTCTCGGGCCAGTCCCTTCTCTGGACCCAACCTCCCTATCTGACTCAGGGGTTTTGCCTTCCAGCGCTGTGCCTGGAGGAACCCGGGATTCCGTGGGAAACCAGCTGCCAGATCTGATTTTGCAAGGTGCACTCCATGCTGGGCAGAGCTAGCCCTACAGTGAGTGAGTGAATGAATGAATGAGGAGCCTGTTAAAAGCACTGGAAGGGGGCCCCGGCTGCCTGCTAATGCAGACCCCAGGAGGGAGCAGTGATGCTGAAAGTAACTGGGGCCCTGCCTCCCTGGTGGATGGAGTTCCTCACCCCCGACTTGGGCCTGACCCAGCCCTGGCCATTGAGGGCATTTGGGAAGTGAACCAGAAAAAGGGAGTTCTCTCTCTTTCTTTCAGATAAATAATTTTTTAAAAGATTTATTTATTTTGAAAGCCAGAATTACAGAGAGACAGAGACAGAGAGAGGTCTTCCATCTGCTGGTTCACTCCCCAGATGGCCGTGACAGCCAGGGGTGGGCCAGGCTGAAGCCAGGAGCCAGGAGCATCATCTGGGTCTCCCACGAGGTCTCCTAAGCACTTGGGGCATCTTCTGCTGTTCTCCCAGGCCATGAGCAGGGAGCTGGATCGGAAGTGGAGCAGCCGGGATTCGAACCGGCGTCCATATGGGATGTCAGCACTGCAGACGGTGGCTTTACCTTCTACACCACAGCGCCAGCCCCTCCCCCCCCCTAATTTTTAAAAATAACAGGATTTAGACAGCCTAGGTCCAACCCCAGGTTCACTGCCTCCCAGCTGTGTGACCTCAGCCAATTTGCACAATCTCTCTGGGGCCTTAGCACCCCACCTGTAAAACCAATCAACATACATCCCTCCCCACTGTTAAACATGGGGCTCACAGGGAAGAGCACCCAGCAGGGCATCTGCTTCCTCGTGACCCCTGGTACGTCAGAGCTGCTAGAACAATGCGCTCGGGGGCCAGCGCTGTGGCGTAGTGAGCAAAGCTGCCACCTGCAGCTCTGGCATTCCATATGGGTGCTGATTTGAGTCCCAGCTGCTCCTCTTCTGATCCAGCTCTCTGCTATGGCCTGGGAAAGCAGTGGAAGATGGCCCAAGTCCTTGGGCCCCTGTACCTGCATGGGAGACCTGGAAGGAGCTCCTGGCTCCTGGCTCCTGGCTTCGGATTGGCTCAGTTCCAGCCATTGCAGCCATTTAGGGAGTGAACCAGTGGATAGAAGACCTCTCTCTCCCCCACTCTCTGTAACTCTCTCTCAAGCAAATATATATATTATATATATATATATATATAAAAGAACAAAACATTCCTCCTCCGCCTCCCCCCCTCTGCAAGACCCACCCCTCCCCCCAGGATACCAAACCCCACTGACGCTCGGGTCCCTCCTAGAAAATGCTCTGTAATTTCCATAGAACCCACCCCACCCTCCCACACACTTTGAATCATCTGTGGGTGACTTCTGCTTTGTAATCTGACCTAACTGCTATGTAAATAGTTGTTTAGGGACTGCTGTGTTTGCATTTAGGGACCGAAGACAAGCATTCAGCACAGGTGCAATTTTTCCCCCCTCCCAATGTTTTTGACCCGTGGTCGGCCACATCCACGGACACAGCCCCACGGATACGGAGGGCACCTGTCACTGCTGGTGGCCCTGGAGGGGAGGCTTTGGCAGGAAAAGACGGACGCTCCTGTCCTTTTTTCTCCATGGTGATAGACTTGAGTGGTCATGGTGGGGGGGCATCTGAGGCCAGGAAGGGGTGGGAGAGGCTCCAAAGCTGCCGTCCTGCCCTGCACTGGGTCCAGTTCCCTACTCCCCCCTCCCCGCCCCACTCCAGGCTCACCCTCCTGGGACTGCTTGGAGTTGTTGAACATGCTGGCAGAGGCCAGCGCCGGGGCCACCTCACGGGCGTTGATGATCTCAGCCTTCCCTAGGAGGAAGAAGCAGGTGGGCAGGCAGGAAGAGCCCCAGCCCCTGTCCCTGCCCACCCCCATGCGCCTGGCGGCTGCTCAGCTGCCTCCCCCAGCCCAAGCGCAGCCTCAGATGGACACGCACTGGCCCCGCCCCCCGCCTCAGCCCCACCACTCACCCGTGGTGCTGTTGTAGATGGTGAAGAACAGGCCGCCCCCGATGCCCATGCTGTGGGGGTTCATGAGCCCCATGCACAGCAGGGCCGCGATGGCCGCGTCCACTGCCGAGCCGCCGTCCCGCAGTGCATCCCTGCCAGGGACATGGAGGGGCTGGTGAGAACCCCTGGGGCCCCGCCTCCTGGGTGCACCTGCCACTCACCTCCCCCTGCCTCCCTGCCCTGAAAAGGACAGAAGAGGTTTATTATTTTCAAGATTTATTTATTTATTTGAAGGGCAGAGTAACGGGGGTGGGGGATAATATTCCATCCATTGGTTCACTCCTCAAATGGGCCACAATGGGCCCGGTCTGGGGCCTTGCTGCCCCGGGTGGAATTTCAAACTTCCTTCCAGGTCTCTCACATGGGTTGCAGGGATGCTAGGGCTTAGGCAATCTTCTTCTGCTTTGCCAGGTCACTAGCAGGGAGCTGGATAGGAAAGTGAGCAGCTGGGACACAAACCAGTTCCATATGGGATGCCAGTGTCACAGGTGGCTGCTTCACCTGCTACACCACAGTGTCAGCCTCAAGAACTTTTATTTTTAAAAGACTTAGGGGCTAGCATTGTGGCACAAAGGGTTAAGCCACTGCTTACAACACCAACATCCCATATCAGAGTGCCAATTCAAGCCCTAGCCCAGCTCCCTGCTAATGCACCTGGGAAAGCAGCAGAAGATGGCCCAAGTGCTTGGGCCCCTGCCACCCATGTGGGAGACCTGGACGGAGTTCCAGGCTCCGGGCTTCAGCCTGGCCCAGACTGGGCCATTGTGGCCAATTGGGGAGTGAACCATTGGATGGAAGACCTTTCTCTCTGTCTCTTCCTCTCTCTGTAACTCTGCCTCTCAAATAAATTAAAAAAAAAAAAAAAAGAATAAAAGTTTATCCATAGAGACAGACACAAGGGGTCTTCAAATCATTTGTGGAAAAATAGAATTAAAAGATGTGTATTTCACTGCAAAACATTTTTTAAATCCACAATGTTTTTTTTTTTTTTCCTGGTGTGCATTTTCCATGAACTTTTTGAAGCCCCCTCACCCTCTTAGAGCTGAGAAAAGGGGCCTTGCTGGTCCCTGCCCACTCTGCCCTGACCACCAGCTACCGAGAGGGCCCAAGGAGAAAGGCCAGGCTACTATGCCCGTGCACGATGCTGTTCATCCAGGCAGTCTATTTAGGGCTGGGGAAACCAAGTAGCAGAGGGGCCAGAGCCTTGCCCAGGGCCCATATCCCCAGCTGGCCCCAAGCCCTGCCCGGAGCCCAGCGCCCCCCCCACCACCACTCACCTCCCAATCTCGGAGCAACGTGGGGCGTCGGCGGCCACGGCCGCCCTGGCGTAGACATGCTCTGGCTGCCTGGAGGTGGAGGGCAGCCAGATGGCGAGGCTGATGATGACCAACACGAGGATCACGGCCAGCAGGCCCAGCACCACGAACGGCTTCTTCATGACTCTGCCAGCCAGGGGGCGCTTGCCGACCCCACCTGCAGGGGCACAGTCCAATCAGGCCTCAGAATGACAGGGCCTGTTGTCTCCTTCCTTGCAGCCCCCAGACCTTAGCCCAGAACCTTCCCTCTGCCGGCAGCTCCAGGTTCCATCTCTGCACTCCCACATCGCTGTTCCCTATCTCTAGCAAAGACCCCCATCTCCAACAGGACCCCTCCCAACAAGACTTCACCTGCCCCTACTTCTGCACAGTCTCCTCTGCCTCCCGGGGGCCCACTGCACAGCACGGGGCTCAGCATCCACCAAGCCCCTGCAGGGCTGGGACTCACCGGCCAGTTAACAGACAGGAGCCCCCCAAGCGGCTCCTGGAGACTAGAGGGCTTGGCTGGAATGGCTGCCGCTCACACCCTGCAGGAGCCTGCGGTCACAGAATCTTCTCCAAGACTCCCCGACCAGGCCTCCTTGTCCTGCTGAAAAATCAGGAGGGTGGACCTGCAGCAGGCCCGGCCCTGCCCCCCCCACGCCCCTGGGGAGGGAGGTGGGGGGAGAGCGGAGGGGGCTCTCGGTGACCTCCCACCACCCACGCGTCTCTGGCTAGGTCTGTCTGCCAGCCACCCACAGGTTCCGGGGAATCCTCCCAGACACAGGCCAGAGTCTTGCACTGAGTAGGACAGGCAGGGGACAGGAGCTTTGGGTGCAAGCCCAGCATGACAGGTGCCTGAGAAGGGGCTGAGGGGCCCCTGTGCATCTAAAGTCACCTGCTGCAGCTGCAGGGCCGATATCGCAACCTCAGTGGTCTCGCTGGCCAGGGCTGCGGAGAGAATCAAGTGGGTTAGAACGCAGGAGGTGCAAACACTGGCTGCATTGGGGGGGGGGGGTTTCGGGGTATGGGGACAGCAGCGGGGCAGGGGAGGGCTCTCGCCTGCTGAGCATGTCCCCTGTGGACTTCCTGCCAGCCCAGGCAGGTACCCTTGGCTGTGGCAGCAGGTGAGGGCTGTGACCCAGGTTCCTCCAAAACAGCAGGTGTCGGCCACAAGCCCCTGCAAGGGAACACAGGCTGGGTCCCTCTCTCAACGACCCTGACCCTCATTCAGGGTTGCAGAGCCCCACCCCAGCACGGAAGGTGCAGCTCCCCCCAGGCTTGGGGTGGGGAGCCCAGCAGACACCATGGCATGTCCCCACCGTGGGATCCACAGCAGCCCCTCTGCACCTGGACCGCCACCCGAGAGCCTGAAACCTGAGCACCCAGAGCCTCTCCCTGGCCACCCTCCAGACAGCATCCCTCCTGGAGAGTCGGACGACTCAGTCTGGCCAAAGTGCCAATGGGGCCCCGCCCTCTTCGCGTGAGAGATGGTCCACACCCTTGCCCAGGCTTGACGGCTGACTGGACACACGGCCCCCCGGGGCCTGGTGGGCAGCCTGGTCAGGGTCCAGGCTTCCTGATGGAGGCAGCCATGCTGGGAGGTCCAAGTGGCTCGGAAGCCGGGCCAGCAGCGTGTGCCCTCAATCGCTGCTGACAGACCGTTCCCAGCACGTGTTGGAGGTTGGCGGCTGGGCCGGGTCAGTGTCCCCCTGCTCTGGCCCACGCAGCCCGCAATCCCACTGGGTGCCTTGGGGGTCCAGCCTCATGGTTTGAGGCCATGATTGTCATTTCCCTTAGGGCTCTGGGGTGAGATAGCAATGACCCCCTGAGAGCGGCACCGTAGCCTCCTTGTCTGTCCCTCTCCACCCCAGGGCCCTAGGAGGCTCCCAAGGAGCAGAGGAGTAGATTGTGGAGAGGGAAGGGGCTGCACTGGCCCCGCCTCTTCCTCCCCACCCCACAGGCCTGGCCCCGCCCCCTCCTCCAAGCTGCAGTCCCCAGAACAGCTGCGGAAGACTCCCTGCTGGTGGCCTGGGCTACCATTTCCTACCCCCTCCCCGCTGGTTTTCTCAAAGACTCACTAAAAGGATATGAAAGCCAGAGGCGGGGCTCCCACCCCCATCAGAGTTAGGAGGGGAAACTGAGGCCAGGGAGTGGGTCAGCAGCAAGGCTGGGCTTCAAACCCAGACACCCCCACCTCCTGGTGGCCCTGGTGGGCTCACCTGAGGCCCTAGGGGCAGTGGGGGTCCAAAAGAGACCCTCAGCTGCAGGAAGCAGGGCTGACTGACCGCCTGGGAAATTCACATCCCCCCAGCCCCTCCTGGGAGAAGCCACGCCTGCCGCCCCTGCTGCTTTGGGGGTGGGCACCTCCCAGGGGGTTGCAGGTGCAGGAAGGGGCAGTGGGACCCCAAAGACCTCTGAGCTTACCTAGTCCCAGAGCAGGCAAGAGGCCAGCCGGGGTGCGCCCAGCATCCCCAAGGGGCAGCTGGATGCGTCTGGACAGAGTGGAACAGGCGGTCCTCGCTCAGAGGTCCAGCCAGGCGGAGTCACAGCAGGAGGCACAGTGACTTGGCTTTCTGCAGGTGACTAAAGGTCACACCCGCCCTGGGAGGGCCCTGGGCCGGAGGTGGGAGGGACCCGGAGCCTGGGAAAGGGGTTCCAGACCCGGCCCCCTTCAAAGGGTCAGAACGCCCCTCTGCGTCTCACCCCCGGCCCGTTCAGTTGCTAGGGGAGAGTCTGAACTCAGAGCTGCAGTGTCCCAGACAACAGCTCCTAAAGCAGTGGGGAAGGCACCCCCCTCCCCGAACCAGCCCCGAACCTGAACCTGAACCTGAACCTGAACCTGAGAGGCCTCACCACACCCTGCAATTGCCCGGAACAAGGCCCAGGGCAGGCGGGGGTGGGGGGGTGGGGGGGTGGTGGTGGTGGTGGTGGTGTTCCAGTGTCCAGACTGGTTCTGCTGTCCACCTAGGAACATTGGTGCCCCAGGCCACAGGAACCCAGTGAAAAGCCTAGGACCCAAAGAGAGGCCAGAGCCCACCCAACCTCACACAGGCTAGCAGTGTCAGCCTGGCCACCTTGCACCTACCCCAAGCTGCTGCATGTCCCTGGCCAGCCCACCAAGGAAGCAGGAGCAGCGGCGGGCCCGGCCCAGGGGACCTTGGACACTGCTCTCCATTCCCCCTGGGCCCTCACCTGCCAAGAACAAGGGTCACTGGCTCCCTGAGTCATGGCTCTCTCTCCCCCCTCCTCCAACCCCCACTCCCGGACGCCCTGGGCAAGCTGTGCACAGAAGGTGATGAGCTCCCTGTCCCCAGGAATGTGCAAGCCTCACTCACCCAGAGATGCTGACTCGGCCGGCAGCACCACCCCCTCCCAACACAATCCCGGGACGCAGCAGAGCAGCCGGCCTGGAGATTCTCTGCTAATCCTAAACCGCTTGAAGTCTGTGTCATCGAGGGAAAGCCGGGTTGCAGCCCCGGGCCCATTCAGACAGGAAAAGCAGACTTAGGCGGAAGCAATTTGCCCAAGGTCAGCTGGCCCCGGAGTCGCGCCACTCACCCCCCCCACCCCGCCAGCCCCCATGTGGAGAGCACAGGGGTCTCCCAGCCTGGCCTACACCCGTGGGGGGTGCTGTGGGGACGCCGCACATGACCGCTACCCAGCCCTGAATCTGTCCCCCCCCCGCCCCGCTGCCTACCCCACCGCCCGGCGTTACGAAATAAAAACCCCTGCTCCCTAGAATGACGACCCGCAGGAAACCCGTGGGCAAGGCCACCTGTGCCCTGACCCCGATCCCGAGCCCTGTGACCTGAAGGTGGTGGCGCCCCCTGGAGAAGATGGCAAAATCCTTTGTATAACTGGCTCTGCCCTGCCCCCACCCCCACTCACAGCCAGAGCCCAGAGAAGGGTCAGCTCAGCCCTGAGGACACAGTGGCCTGGGGTGGGGGTAGGGTAGTGAGGGGTGGGGTCCACTCCAGCTCAGGCTCCACCCTAGGGCTGCCCACCCAGCCCCCAGGGGCTGCAGATCCTCAGCTCCTCCACGCTGCATTCCTCCCTCTCAATTTCAAGTGCGTTCTCCCAGCCATGGCTTCTTGGGAGAAAGTCAAGGGGCTCGATGCCAATCCTTGCCCATCTGCCCCCAGTCCCCTGTCACCACCCCTCTGACACACGTGAGGCAGAGCAGGCGGGAAGCCCAGGCAGAAGATCCCAAACCCTTTTATCAGACCAGACACAGAGACTCCAGCCCAGAGCCTGTCCCGGCAAACACGCCGGGGGCTCTGCCTACCTGCGCGGCCCCTCTGCAGCAACCACGCACACTGGTCTCACTCCCTTCACCCTGAAGCTCACGCCCACTGCGCAGGTAGGCAGACCAAGGCCGGGACTCCTCCAGAGCACGGCTAGCATGCGGTACAGCAGAAGATGGCACCCAGCCCTCCCCCCTCTCCTCCGCCTCCCCCAGAAACCTCTGGAAAGCCCCAAGCCAGAGCTCCTCCACAGCTCAGAGAGGGTCAGCGGACGCTTCGGGGTCACATAGCACTGGAACACAGCCAGCCAGCCGCCCGCCTGGCTCCAGGCTCCTGGGTCCACACCAGCAAGGAACCAAGTCCCCATCCCCAGCTGCGACCCAGCTCCTCCCCTCTCTCCCTTGGCTGGCCCAGGGTGGGAGGAGGTTTTAAAGGCACAGGAACTATTCCAGGTGAGGTTGGGGCCGGGCCAGCTCCTACAGTGGCCAGGGCAGGGACGAAAGAGGCTGGGTTTTTGCTGGCTGGTTCGAGTCCCAGCTGCCCTGTTTCCCATGCAGCTCACTGCTAATGTACCTGAGAAGACAAGATCCCCACCACCCCAGCCATGGAGGACTGGATGGAGTTCCAGGCTTTAACCTGGCCCGTTCCCAGCCTTTGCGGCCATTTGGGGAGTGAACCAGTGGATAGAAGATCTGCCTCCCTGTCTCTCCCTCTCTCTCTGTGGCTCCGCCTTTCACATCAATCAATCAATCAATCTTTAAAAAAAAGGAAAGATGCTGGGTGTCAGCACAGAGCAGATCCAGGCCAAAGGTTTCCCTGGGAGGAGGGGACAACCTGCCTCCCCAAAACATGCCCTCTCCACGACTCTTGGGGCTACAAGTCGGGGGGTCTAGGGGCTGTCACTCCAAAGACTCTGGTTACCCGAAGTAAAAGACTTAGGGGAGTCTTTCTGTATCCCCCTTGCCTGATTCCTGGGGCGAGCGCCAGTGTGAAGGAGAGGGTGCTGGGGCCACCTGCTCCTGTCCTCTGCATGAGACGGGGTGGTACCCCTGTGGGGCTGGGGGGGGCTGTGCCTCCTCCCAGCCTTCAGGTCAAGGTCTGCAGAGTCAGCCCCCTGCCCTGCCACAGCCACCACCACCAGCCCGGCCCCAGCTTCAACCCATTTCTTCCGCTAAAATGCCGTCCTGGCTTCTCAGGAGGCTGGCTGACCACGCAATCCATCAAGGACGAGGTGCCCCAGGCGCTGAGACCGAGGCAGAGGCAAACACCAGCATGGGTGCCTTGGAAATCCGGCCAGAGCTGGGCTCGCAGTGCGGGGGTGGGGGTGGGGGACGTTCCAGGAGGAAGGCGCCACCACGGCAGGAGCTGGAGTTTTCTCTGTGACCCGCGGGGGCTCCTGGAGGACCTGTTGCCCTCTCCGGCGCCATTCCTGAGCTGCAAGGTGTCAAAGCTGGAAAAGGCGGTGGCTGAGGCCGGCCACTGAGCCAGGTCAGTGTGGACTTTGAGAGCCAGTGGGAGGCTGGTGAATATGTAACCCATTAACCCCAGCCGGCTCATTAAGACCCCAGCAGGTGCCCATTAGCTGTTGGGGGCTGGGTTCTGGGGCCATAGGGGAGGAAACAGGATTGAATGCAGGCATCCTGGGCTGGACCTGAGGGTGTATTTCGTTTTCCAGTCAGCCCAGCTGCTGGCACCAGCATCCTTCAGAGCCTCGAGGGCCCTTGAGGCTCAAGGCTGGGGAGGTGGGGAGAGGGGTAGCTCAACACCCAATCCCTGTTGTTTTCCTGAGAAATGGCCTCATGGTGCCCTCCCAAGGCCCTCTCTATTTCAACAGCCCTGGGGCTGCCCCACCCCTGTACCTGGGGAAACGTAGAACTGGTGAAGCAAGAAGGGAGCTCCTGGCACAGGAAACCACAGCCTGAAAGAGGACGGGGACCCACAGCCCAGGGAAATCCGCACAAACCACTTCCTGTAACTGGCATCTCCTAGCAGTCCCCTCCGCCACCGCCGCCTTGCCCTGCCCTGTCCCACCCTGCCATCAGGTGCGAGATTCCGGTAGCACCAGAGGGCTAGGCCAGGAAGTATTGAGCAAGCCTCCACGGCCAGCCGGCAGTTCCGTGTCGGAAGCCTCACTGTGATGGAGCCAGACAGATGGGTCCAGATTCGAGCAGTGCCCAACCTGCACGGAGGCAGGACCTCAGGCCTCCCCCTCCCCACTCCTCGCCGGGGGAGCGTGGAAACCTGACATCACCCCAGACAGTGCGATGTCAATGGGCTGAGCGACACTGACATCAAACGCAGCACTGGAGTATCTTCAATAACCCAAGGATTGTGGAATCTCCTTGACTCCAGCATCCCAGAAAGCCTGGCTTACACACCTGCCCCACCAGGGAGCTCACTACCTCTGCAGATAAAGAGACGGCGGTCGATTGGCAGGTTTTTCCCAGCTGGCTTCTTTGCCTTCTTCAAGCCTTGGACTCTTGGCCACTGTCTGAAGCCACAGAGCAGGGGCGGGCAGGGGCTACCCAGACCACTCAGAGCCGCTGAGACCACACAGAGGGGATACAAGGAAAACCCCAGCTCCACGCTGAGACCCAGGGGTAGTCGGGGAGGAGGGCCCTGGCCAACCCCTGCCCCCAGAGCCTGACCAACACCCCTGTGCCATTTGCAGCGTTCACGGTGCCAGCACACACACCTTTCCTATGAGGAGAGAGGCTGGAGCGTGGCCAAGTGCGTGGGTCTCCGGAATTATCTCACAAAGGCTCAGGAGCATTCGGCTGCAGGACCAGCCTGGCATCTCCCGGGCCCGAGTCCAGCTTCCAAACCCAGAGGCCCCCTGGCAGACGGGTGAGGGCTCCGGGTCCCTGGGTTCAGACTCAACCGCGGGCACTGACGGCACAGGGATTGGGGGGCTGGCCTTCCTCGTGCCAGCCTCGGCTTCTTAGAACTGCGATTAGCTAGGACACTTCACCCAGAAGAATGGGCCTGGGGCAGGGACTGCAGGAAGCACCCATCACCGTCCAGGCTGTGCCGGATCTGGCCTCGTGGGGGACGCCCACGTCTGTAGCTGCCTTCGTCCTGGGCCCCCAGTGCCCCCTTCCATGTCACCCCCTCCTCCCTGCCCACAGCACTCTCTCCAGGTAGGGCGGATGGGCTGGGCGGGCTGGGCCAAGAGGCATTTATCACATCACCTGGTAATTATCTGTAGTGTTTGGCCCTTGATCCAGGGTGGGGGGTAGGTGGAGAGGAAGGCTAAGTCAGGGCCAGGCCCCAGCCCCCACCCCTCATCACAGGGCCTGGCCTCTGAGGGGAGCCAAAGCACCCCTATCTCACTCCACACCCAAGCCCGCCTGGCAACCACCAGTTCCCCTCTCCCGGCACCCCGTGATTTCACGGATGCCCCGAACACCCGGCGTGTCCCATGCACACCCCACTCAGCTCACCCAGTACTCCCGAGCTCTTTTCACGGCCGCCTGCTCACTGACTTCTGGCTTCCAAGTCCAAGTCTGAGCCTGGGCTGGCTAAGGTTTCAGACGGCCCCCTGGGGTTAACAAGCCCAGACCTGAGCTAAGCCACTGCCCACCCTACCCCACGCCCCTCTGACCTCTCCCCGCCCTCCCACCTCACCCTGGCCACCACGTTAGCCTCAGGAAGCCCCACCCTGCAACCCCTCTGATCCTTTCCACCTGCTTCCCAACCCCACCCTGGCTGCACCTGAACCCCACTCCCCACAGGCCCCTCCTCTCACCTGCCGGCTCCCAGTCACAGGTCCCAGCCCAATGTTCACATGCAAATCAGAGCCTGCCCTCCCTCCCACCTCTGCTGAAAACCTTTCCAAGGCCCCCTTGGCCCTGTGGATGAATTTTTGTTTTGTCTGTGCCTGCCCCTTACTCCACGCCCAGTGCTCCTGCCTGGACTTCGCGCAGAATTTTGCCGTGCCCAGAAGCGCGGCCCCCTCCTCCTTCATCCCCCCCCATCCCAGCTCCCCCTCTGAGTCTGCGGCCCCCTCCTCTAAGTATCGCAATCTCTGCAGTATCCATGGTGCCCCAGTAATCGGCGCTGAGTGGGCAGACGCTGGAGGGCTGGGCGGGCTCCGGAGAAAGCCAGAGATGACTCGCTAAAGTGAAGAGGGCTCGCGTCCCTGCAGTGCCGCTGGCTGTTTTCTCCTTCCATCCTCGGATGCCTTTGCCAGACTGAGGCTTTGCAGAGGCCCCTGTCCTGGGCCGAACAGGGTACCCACCCTCAAAATCCCTACGCACCGGGAAGCTCAGAATGTGACCTCACTCGGAGAGCCTTCGCAGAAGTTAGCAGAGATGAGCTTATGCTGGGTTAAAGTGGGTCCGAGAGCCCTTGACCCGTGGCCCCACAAGGAGGTCGGGGGAGGACGGCCATAGGTACACGAAGAAGACAGCCACGTGACCACGGTGGCCACATCGGGGGTGGGACAGCTGCAAGCCAAGGAATGCCAGGGGTGGCCAGGAGCTGCCAGTCTCCAGGAAAGACCTCCTGCACCAGCGCGGGGAGAGAACCATTTCTGCCATCGCAGAGCCTTCCAGCTTGTGGTAACTTCCGATGGCAGTCACGGGAAACCAATACAGCTTCCTCCCTTGCCTGAGCCTGCGCACCCAACTAGTGGCAGCCCAGGACAGATCCAGGGCCTAAGCTGTGCTCTCCGGCGGTTCCCAGCCACCCCCATAGGACAAGTTCAGGGAAACCTTTGCCTTCTTAGAGAATCTCCATCTGCCTCGCTCCTCCCAGCCAAAGGTGGGTGGGTCCATTTCCTGCCCAGGCAGCCAGGTCGCTTGGACCTCGGTTCTCCTTGGGTGGCCATGGGCTGGGGACACTAAACGTGTGGCTGTCACCCCTCTTTGGCTCCTAGAAAGTCCATGTGGCCTAGTATGAGGCTACTTCTAAATGTTCGTGGGAAAATCAAAGCAAATGAAAAGATAAATTTATTTTGGGCGCAAAAAATAGTTGTTTTTTTTTTTTTTTTTTTTGAAATGCATGCATAGTTGTGTCTATGTTTGTTTTGTGCACGAAAGTGTCCATGAAACTTCCAAGGACCTCACGTGGGCCTCCATCCATCGTGGCCTGGCCGGGGTGGGGGGGTCTGATGGTTTCCTCTCTCTGATCTCTGCCTGCCCCCCTCCTCCAACTTTGCTACTTCATTGGTTCCCTGAAGGACTCAGGACAGCTGCCACAGCAGCCCTGGGTGCTGAGAAGGCAACACTGTGGACACACAGTCTCCACACACACACACAGCTGTACTGCCCAGGACAGCTCCAAGGGGGAGGGGCCAGCAGCTGTGGGGGAGGGGCTACAGGCTCCCCCCTCCCCCAGGAGACAGCTCTGCCTCTGGGGACTCCTTTACACCCCTGGGCCAGGCCAGAAATAGTCCCCAAGAGCCGACTCACCCCAGACCCTCCCCACAGCAGGCAGAGGGAGAGGCAGGCCCATCCAGGCATAGGCACCCAGACACCCCGCCCCTCCCTCCTTTCCTGGAAAAATGTCCTCGCAGGCAGGGACATGGGAGCAGGTGGGGGGGACAGGGCTGGGGGGCAGCAGCATTCCCTGCCTTCCACAGGACTCTGGGAAATCCGCCCCCTCCCGCACGCCACTGCCTGCCATTGTCCCCTTCGTGACACCCCAGCTCAGCCCTGCCCACCCCTCCCCTACCCACACCTTCTCCGTCTGTCTTCCATAGTCCAGGCCTGGCCCAGCCTCTGGAAAGATGCGGTCAGGGCCTGGGAGCCACCCAGCTCGGGGCTCCAGCCCTGAGCATGCAGGGCTCAGGAGGAGGAGGACTTACCGGGCTGCTGGCTCTGGGCAGGGGGTCGGAGAGGTCCCTGGAGCCACTGGGGCTGGAGCTTAGTGCTCAGTCAGTTCAGCCACAGAGGCTTGGCCCTGAGGGAGGGCAGCCCAGGCAGTCATGCAGGTTTGCCAGGGAGGAAACCTGCGGTGCCAAGGTGGCCTCAGGACAATGCTGGCTGCAGGGGGAAGGGAGGCCGTGGAGGCCACTGGGGTGGGCTGGCAGATACCAGGGACAGGTGTAACAAGGGGTGGGGGAGTCAAGGGGCACCCATTCCAGGGTCCCTGCCTGAGTTTAACCCCATGTAGTCTCCTAATCCCCCAGCAGGCTCTGTTTAACCTACAGGAAGGAGAGCCTGCCACCCCTCACTGTATATGCCCACAGCAGTCTCTGCTTACTCCTGTGTGCTCATCCTGCACACTGGCCCAGCCAGGAACCACCCTAGCCTTGTAGCGTGCACACATGGTCCCTGCTGGTAGGACTAGGGACCAGAGCCCAGTGCCCCACCCTCCATATACACATACCTCCAGAGCCAGGGGAGGGCAGGGGGCTGCACAGGGAGCCCCATGTACTGGGACACCCCTCACACAGGTCCGTGGCTCCAACCTGGTCCCTAGTGGAGCCAGAGGGCCACACCCTGGCCATGGCCTGCACTTCTCCCCCTTGTCAAGCAGGAAGACAGGTGCAAAGAGCTCAAGGTTAACACCCCCAATCCCCTTTATCTCCCACAGGCGGCTGGCTCCACCCAGTCAAGCAGGGAGTAGCGGCAGAGAGTAGACAGGTCAGCTAACTGTCCACTGTGTGTGTGTGGTGGGGGGCGCCTCCTAACGCTGGCTCTCTGAAAGCTTCAAGGCCACGGAGGAGCTGCCCAGCCCTGGACCAGACCCGGCCAGGCTCTGGGCCCTCGCGACACAACTCCAGAGCCAGGTCCGACGCGGCGAGCCCAGTGCCACACGGAGTCCCCCTCGCCCATGCGTGCGCTCCGCCTGCGGCGCTGCCCACGGGGCACATCCCCGGCCCGGGCGGGAGCGGGGCGGGAGCGGGGCGGGCGGGGCCGGGGCGGGGCGGGGCGCAGGCAGCCCGGCCTCCAGCCAGCTGGGTGCCTGCGCCGCGCGGCGGTCTTGGGGGCCCGTCTGGGCCGGAGGGCCGGGCACGAGGCGGGCTGGGAGGCAGGGGCGGCGGCGGGCGCAGGGCCCGCACCCTACAAGCGCGAGATCCAGTCCACGCTCTGGGAGCGGCGGCCCGAGCGCGCCGGGCAGCTGCAGAGCCTCCTGCGCCAGGCGAGAGAAGGCAGCGGGCCGGCTCCGGCTGGCGGCGGGAGGGCCGTGGGGGGGGGGGGTGAGGGAGGGTCCTGGGCTGTGGGCTGCGGGCTGTGGCTCTGGGCCGGGGTGGCGGGTCGCAGGGCCTGGGGCTATTGTCTGGGCGACAAGGAGGCCACAGGCGGCGGCGTCGTCGGGGGACCGGCGAGTGTGACCCGGGCTCTGGGGAGGGAGGTCGGTTGTGTGTTGAGGGCGCCCCCAGCCTGGCGCTAAGAGCCCTGATTCAGGCCTTAGTCATGGAGGAGCGGGGGTGGGGGGTGGGGCCGAATCACCTTGTATTGGCTCACGGTGGGAGACAGCAGTTTAGAAGGGAGGCAGGCACAGGCTGCAGACTGCTGCAGACCCTGGGGTCTGATCTGCAGGTGCACCCTCACCAGGGCACTGTCACTGCAGCCCAGAGGGAGCCGCGGCACCCTTCACCTGTTCTAACATTCAGGGTGTGCCCACTGAGTACATGCGCTGCGCACCTGTCCATCACAGCACACAGCAGGTGGCTGGGGGGGGGGTTCTGGTCCCACACACCCGAGCTCTGGATTGCCCTAGGAGACATGAGTGCTTTAGTTCCAGGGTCACCAGTGTCACTTCAGGGCCAGCTACTTTCCCCTTTACTCCTGTCCCCACCCTCCTGGAGTACTAGCCACCTCCCTGCCCCTCCCCTACCCTGTGAACTGAAATCAGCTGTGCAGGTGTTTGGCCTGCAAGAAGGTGAAATGAGGGAGACAGGTGTGTACAGAAACGTTGAGTCCAAGCCCCAGAGAGGAAAGTGAGGTGGCAGGGTGGCAGCTGGGGCTACAGCGCAGCCGCCCGGCCCGCTCCCGCTCCTGCTCCTGCTTCTGCCCCGGCCCTGCTCCGGCCCCTGGTTTCTTTGCTCTAGGCCCAGCTGACTGGAAAGGTGGAGCCGGCCCTTTAAGAGGAGCTGTCCAGACCAGCGGAAGACTGGCAGGCTGTGGTCTGGGGCCAGTCTGGGGCACTGTCTGGGTTGGCCCAGGCTCTCCTTCCTCCCCCTGGGTCCTTCCTAGCTGGCATCTGTGACTTGAACCATGTTGGAAAAGCAAATAGCAGAACCGCCTGAATCAGCCAGATTACACAGACAGCGTAGGCTGTCTCGGGTGCATGGCGCCTGGAGTCCAAGGCAGCCTCTGGGCATTTGCACAGGGAGACATGGTGGGGGCAGGGAGAAGAGCCTTCAGAGACCAGAGGTTGGCCTGTCCTGCCCCATAACTCCGCAGGGACCCCACGGCTGCAGCCCTGTCTGGCCTGCCTCTTTGTGCCCAGGTCCTGCCCCATCAGCTGTCAGTGTGTCCCTGAAATGGACCCTTCTGGAAGTGTGTTCAGCCCCACCCCAAGCAATGGGAGTAGACACCTGGTGGAGAGGGCACTGGACAGTGCGAGGGCTGGGAGGGGAGGCTGGTGGGCTGGGAAGGGCTCCCTCTGTGGCCAGGCATGGGGAGTGCCGAGACTCACGCAGAGTCTCTGATGCCGATCAAGGTCAAGTTCGTCTGTGTTTCACGGAGCTGGCTGGGGCAGCCGTCGGGAGGACTGCAGGCATACGGAAAGGCTGACAAACCCTGGAAATGGCTCCTAGAGGATGAGGCCGGAACCTTGGCAGGGGCAGTGGGGAGGTGAAGATGTGGGGGGAGAGGTTGCAGGAAGGGTGCTGGGTGACTCCTGGGATGTTGGGCATGGTGCTGGTGCCCTACTCCAAGCTGAGGCACAGGCTACAAGGCTGCCATTGGATATCTGAGCTGAGAGAGGTCCGTGCCATAGTCTGCAGCCCCAGGGACCACGTGGCGGGGGGAGGCAAAGTGAATGCTGGGGGTGTTGAGGAGGAGTGGGCAGTGGCATATGGGGATCATTAGGGGGCAGGAGCCCCCCAGAAATTCCCCCCAACAAGCACCAATCCCAGATAAGGCCAGAACAGGACACTTTACCTCGGAGACTAAACCAGGACCCCCAGTGTTCTGCCCCTTTCGTCACCTGAAGAGTCCACCGGCCCCTGGACAGCTGTCCCATCACCGCCCAGCAGGGGTGCTCCAGCAAGCCTCAGGGAGGGACATGGAGAGATGGAAAGGGGACCCTCAACTGCGTTCAGCACCTGCAGGACCTGGGCCTCAGGGGGGACCCTCTTCACCCATATCCTCTACAGAAACGGGACTCTCTTTCCCCTGGTGGACCCCATTTCCCACGACTTGCTGGCCAACCTGGCTCAGGCCCTGCAGTGCCCCAAGAAGGTGAGGCCAGCAGGCCCAGGGGTGCAGGCTAGGAGCCTGGATCCTCACGGCCTCTCCCTGTGTCCTGCTGCCGGCTTCAGTGCATTAGGCCGGCCGGCAGCCAGAGCAAACGCAAGCTGTGATTTGTCTAACCTTGAAAGTCACACACGGTTAGCTAGACTTGTTTCCTGGGTGACAGCAGAAGGCACACGGAGATTCTGCAGGACCTGGGCTATCCTGACAAATGCATGCACAGAGCTGGACTCCCAGGCTCTGAGCTCTTGAATCAGAAGAAAGAAGCCCTAGATGGGGGTCCCTGGCCCCGTGTGGATACCTGTAGGAACAGGTGCTCACTGACCCCCTGCCTCACCCGCCTGCCCGCCTGGCTCCTCGGCAGCTTGGGCCACAGCAGGTGCCTCCTCATGCCCAGTGGAATCTGCCACCTGCAGCCTGTACTCCCACAGCTGCCCCGAGCCCCACTCTGATGGCACCTGCCAAAGTCCCTGCCAGTACGGACACAGCCTTGGCCTGGGTGGCAGTGGCCAGCTACCAGCCCCGGGCCCTAGTAGAGGAATGTCCACTACAGACCTGCCAGCTCTGACCCCTTCCATCTGCATGCAGTTGGCACCGAGGGCCATCACAGTAACCATCAGGGCCTGCTGCACTGCGTGTGTGTGCTGTTGGGACTGTTCACAGAAGGGGACTGCGTCAAGGATCGTTCCACAGAGTGGAGCGGGCTCGTGGCGGCTTTGTGCCACGCGCACCTGGTGTTCCGCCCCGAGCTGGGCCTCTATGAGGGCCCGGTTAGAGGCAAGAGAGAACAGGTGGCAGGGCTGTCACACATTACCTCCCACCCCACCCCCACCCCTGCCAGCCCTGTCTGCCCGGACTCAGGCCCCATGGGCACAGTGTAGCTCCGAGAACGAGAGGAAGAAGAACATGCTGACCTGGCTCGTTGCTACGGCCTGGGATTGGCGGCAGTGGAGCCGGGCTCCCTCGAGGGGCCTGGTCCGGCTTCTCCCCACCGCTGTGGCAAGTCCCCCCCACCCCCTTGCAGGGGGGTGTGTATGGAGAGTGGGCGGGCAGCCGGCCGATAGCCTGAGTCGCTGGCCCTTGGCCCGAGAACAGGGAACAAAGGCCCATTGTCCAGGCTTCCTCCCGCAGGGCACCGCGGGCCTTGGCCCAGTCTGTCCATCTCCCGGCGGGCAGCCAGCCTCCTATGGCTTCGTGCCCGCTCACAGCCAGGGAGGGAGTGGGCAGCTTAGAGGCCCATGGTGCGTGGCCATGCACATTCACACACTCGGCCAGCCAGGTCCCTCGCCCCGAGGCCCAGAGCGGACGGGAGGGGCTCAGGCTCCTCTGTACCTGCTTGGCCCCCGCTCCCCACTTCTGCTGACCCTGCCCCAGGACCGTGAGCTGTGGAAATCTTTGGACAGGATCTGCCGGCAGCTCATCTACCACCTCACCCCTCACTCCAAGCGGCAGCGAGGGGCCAGCCTGGCCCAGAGGAAGGCACAGAGCTGGTAAGAACCCAAGCTTGGGGACCCCACCAGGCTGACACCCGCACTGTTCTCACCCTGGAGCCTGGTGTCAGTCGGGCCCCACAGCGGCAGGCGCCCTACCTCTAGCTGAGCTCCCCACGGGGCCTCCTTGCCCCACCCCAGGACAATGCCCCCTCCTGCCCTGGGCTCATCTCTCAATCTGTGCACCCCCTTGGGCCTGAGGGGACCTCAGCAGGTGCCAGATAAATCTTCACCACAGAGGAGAGGGAGTGGCGAATTCTGGGTCATGATACCCATTTTACAGGGAAAGAGACTGAGGCTAGAAGAGGCAGAGAGCTGCCCAAGGCTGCGCCTGATCCCGATTTTCCTGCTGCTCTTTGGGAATCCTTGGCCCACGCCAGCCCGACCCTACGGCTCACTCTGCTGCACATCTCCCTTTGCAGTCACTCTGTCACAGCTTTGGCCTGGAACTGGCCGCAGGCACCCAGGCCCTGGGGGGCGGGGCAGAGCTACAGCTGGGAGCTGCCCCCAGGCATGTCTCCATTTGTCCCCACCTATCCCACCTTGAGCCTGGTGGCCTGCACTGACCTGGGAGTCCATGGGGGGCTGTTCCCTGTTATACAGGTGGGGCTGGCGGGGGGGGGGTGCGGGGGGAGCTGCAGGTGAACTCAATGCTCTCAGTGCTCCCCACCCCCACATCTTAATGGGCTGTATTCAAATGACAGGAAAGAGAACTGCAAGTATGTGAAGGGGACATGGGGTCTAAGCATCCCTTTCAGCTTAGAATACCACTTTGCATGCTGCCACCCCAGAGCCCCCCACACCTCCTTGCTCGGTCCCCTGGACCTGTCCTCTCTCTAGCCAACACCAGGAACCAGACCTCTCTCCTCTGTGGCGTGTGCAGCTGTAGAAGTTATTTCAGCTCCCTGAGTATCGGTTGGCTCCTCTGTAAAATGGGTTTATCATTCCCACTCCCACGGTGTGGGCATAAAAGTGAGTGGGGTTGGGGGAGGAGGAAACAGAACAGGTGTGGCCTGTACTGGGCACACATGTTTTTCTAATCACCTGTGTGTTTGAGCCTGTCTGCTTGCACCAAAGGGCAATCAATCAAAGGCTCACTGTCGCCGGCGCCGTGGCTCAATAGGCTAATCCTCCACCTTGCGGCGCCGGCACACCGGGTTCTAGTCCCGGTTGGGGCGCCGGATTCTGTCCCGGTTGCCCCTCTTCCAGGCCAGCTCTCTGCTATGGCCAGGGAGTGCAGTGGAGGATGGCCCAGGTGCTTGGGCCCTGCACCCCATGGGAGACCAGGAAAAGCACCTGGCTCCTGGCTCCTGCCAGGATCAGCGCGGTGCGCCGGCTGCAGCGGCGGCCATTGGAGGGTGAACCAGCGGCAAAGGAAGACCTTTCTCTCTCTGTCTCTCTCTCTCACTGTCCACTCTGCCTGTCAAAAAAAAAAAAAAAAAAAAAAAAAAAAAAAAAAAGGCTCACTGTCCACAGCTACCCACTTAGAAAGTGGCCGCTGGACAGAACCCGCCTTTGAGTGGCCGTTGGAACCCAGCCCTGGGCTGCCTCTTGTCTGGTTGGTGGGGAGCTGCCTGGCCCTGAGCCCCAGGCCCTTGCTCAGCCCCTCCCCGCCTGCGGATCCCCCCACCCCCCCAGCTTCAAGAAGACCCTGCCAGCCACAGGGGAGACTGGGCGTTCCAGCATCCCGCCATCGGCGCGCGACCCTGGGCAGCCACAGCGCTGGGCTGGCGGTGCTGGACCTCAGCTTCACGGGGCTGAGCGACGAGCTGCTGTGCCTGCCTCTCGCAGCAGGCAACCGGCTGACGTGAGCCACTGCCCGCCAGCTCACCGAGGCCATCAATGATACAGCCAAGTTCCCCGAGTGGACCTGGGCAACAACATGGACGTGGCCTCCCTGTCCCAGCCCCTACTGGTTGGCCTGCGCCAGCGGCTGAGCCAGCACACCTTACTCTCCACCGTCTACGAGGGCCTGGACCTGGAGCCAGGGGTTGAGGGGGTGCTGAGACCGGAGCTGCTGCTGCTTCTGCCTCCACCTGGGGCTCTGCAGCTGTGGAGCCGGGGCCTGAGCCCCAGGCCTGCTGTGCCAGGTGACCCGCTGTCTGCCTGGGTCACTCCCAAAGACCAATGCTCTCAAGCGCATAGGACAGTGGATGACGGAGGCCTGGGAGGCCCCGCCCCCAACCAGGCCCCCAGAGAGCCAGTGCAAATGGTCCTCCTGGGATTAAGGGGACAGAAGAAGAATGGGCGCTCCCAGCAGGAAGGATGCCGGCACTCAGGTCAGACCTCCCAATAAGAGGGTGATGCCTCCCCCACGCCCCGTCTCAGCCTCTCTGCATCGTGGATCCGTGGCTGCCAAGTTCCAGCCCTCGCTGCTGCTGCTGCTATGGTGGGGAGAAGGGGTGGCCCCCACCCACCCCGACCCTTTTCAGCTGCTTCCTGGGGCTGAGCCCCTTTGGAGACCCACCAGGGGCAAAGCCACAGCTGACTCGGATGGGGACAGGGTGCTGCCCATCACCCCCAGGACCCTGGCCTCCCACCACCCCCACCCCCCGGGCCAAGCTGCCTACTCTTGGTCTGTGGATAAGTCTGCAAGGTTCAGAAATGCATCAGGCCAAGCCGGCGCCGCGGCTCACTAGGCTAATCCTCCGCCTTGCGGCGCCGGCACACCGGGTTCTAGTCCCGGTCAGGGCGCCGGATTCTGTCCCGGTTGCCCCTCTTCCAGGCCAGCTCTCTGCTGTGGCCCGGGAGTGCAGTGGAGGATGGCCCAGGTGCTTGGGCCCTGCACCCCATGGGAGACCAGGAAAAGCACCTGGCTCCTGGCTCCTGCCACCGGATCAGCGCAGTGCGCCGCCCGCAGCGCGCCGGCCCGCGGCGCCACTGAGGGTGAACAACGGCAAAAGGAAGACCTTCTCTCTGTCTCTCTCTCTCACTGTCCACTCTGCCTGTAAAAAAAAAAAAAAAGAAATGCATCAGGCCAGAGCCAGAGCTTGTGTGTTTCCTTCAGAGTCTGGATGTTGGGGGAGGGGTCCCATTATGGGGGACCCCAAGAGCATGCAGGCATGGGGTGTAGGTGGCCATAGCCAGCAGCAGGGCACTCTGGGGTACAGCAGTCACAGGACTGTCCCCAGTAGGGGGGGACCGTCCCTTCCCCCCACCCCCACCCCAGCAGCCCGGGGACAGCCCCCACCAGAAGCTCAGTGGCACGGTCACCCTGGGGAGCCGGAGTTGACCCTAGCAAGGAAGCCGGCAGGACAGGCAAGAAATAAAATTAGAGGTAGGGTCTGGGGACAGTGGGACCCTGTTGGATAGAGAGACCCAGCGGCAGAGGGAGGCCCCAAGGCCCAGGAGAAAGGCAGGGGTCTGAGTCACAGGACACTTTGGGGCAGAAGGGAGGGGGCCGAGAGGGCGAGGACAGGATGGTGTGCAGTCCCAGGACCCGGAGTGGGGTGGGGAGGACCAAGGTCTCACTGCGCCAGGCGACTCCTTGTCTGAAGGCCGTGGGAAGGGAACAGAGCACACTCGGGTCAGCCTGGCTCTGCTCCAGGCTTGTGGGGGATCTGGCCCGGCCTCTCCCCTCTCTCAGGTCCCTCCTTTTACCCCTCCATTAAACAGGGCTTGCTGGCCATGGTCCCTTCCAGCGTTTGAGGCTCCATCCTGGGGGGCCTGGCCCCTGCCTCGCCCAGCCCTCCTCATTTTAACGATCTGGTCCTGCCCGATCTTTAATGCCAAGAAAGCATTTCTCTGGGTCCCCAGCCCAGGAATTGGGGGGTGCTGGCTCCCCAGATTGAGGCAGGGCAGGGCTGAGGGTGGAGGGTGGACGTGGCCCATGGAGAGGCAAAGGATGGGAAAGCCAGCCGTGGGCCCAAGGCAAGCTGATAAAGATGTCACGCCCGCAGCTTACCCTGCTTGTTGGAGAAATGCCAGACCCTCCGCGTTCCTCTTGCCCTCCTCGCTGCCTGCTTGCCTGCCTGCCTGCCTGCCTACGGCTGGCCCACAGCCAGCCCGCACACCTTCAGATGTCACCGCTCAGAGAGATCTCCTACCAGGACGGCGCCCGAGGACCTGGGCCGGCTGTTCCAGGCAAGCTCCGGGAGAACCCAGGTGGCAGCAGATGGCCTCAGCGTCTGCCTTCTGAATGCAGCCATGCGATGCGGCCGGAGCCAGCTCCAGGGGCAGTGGGGAGGGTCAGCCCCAGGGCCATGCGGGTGTCCACAGCCCCTTCCTCACATCCAGGCCTCCCCACCACCACCAGTAGCAAGGTCACTCTTCGGCCAGGGACACTGAGCTACAGGAAGTGGAGACCCGTGCCCTGTGCAGCAGTTTGTAAACAGTAGGCGTTTATTTGGCTCTTGGTTCTGGAGCTGGGAAGTTCAAGATCACAGGGCGTGCATCTGGTGAGGGCCTCCTTGCCGCGTCACCAGCCTGGTGCTGGGTGTCCTGTGGTGCGGGGCGGGGCTGAGCTCTCTTCTGTCACAGACCCATTTTTGCGATGGTGACATTGATCCCTGCAGGGACCTAATGGCTTCTTCAGTGCACCCACCTCCTAGCACTGCTGCCAACACGTGAGGTCTGGGGGACAGGGCTACAAGAAGGAGGGAGCCCTGGGCAGGCCCTGACACTCACTGGCAGCGTGGTCCTCCTCTTGGGATCTGGCTACACAAGGCCCCTCCTGATCCCGGGGCCTGGGGCACCTGCTGCGTGTGGGGCATGGGGCCTCTACCCGGGGCTCTCTGGGTGGCAGTGGCAACAGCCCAAGGCCTCAGGAACAGGCAGAACTGAAGCCATTTATGTATGTAACAAGCACTTCTGGGTTTAGATACTGCTCTCATGGCTTTGCCTGCCTTTCATTCTCTTTGTGCTTTTTTTTTTTTTTTCAAGATTTTATTTATTTATTTGAGAGGTAGAGTTACAGACAGTGAGAGGGAAATACAGAGAGAAAGGTCTTCCTTCTGCTGGTTCACTCCCTAAATGGCCATAATGGCCAGAGCTGAGCTGATCCGAAGCCAGGAGCCAAGTGCTTCTTCCCGGTCTCCCTCGTGGGTGCAGTGGCCCAAGGACTTGGGCCATCTTGTACTGCTTTCCCAGGCCATAGCAGAGAGCTGGATTGGAAGAGGAGCAGCCGGGACATGCACCAGCGCCCAGATGGGGTGCCGGCGCCGCAGGCCAAGGCTTAGCCCACTGCACCACAGCACTGACTCAGATAAAATGACTTTCTGTCCACTGATTCACTCCCCAGCTGCCCACCATAGCCAGCTGTGGGCCAGACTGAAGTCAGGAACCGAGAACTCCATCCAGGGCTCTCACGTGAGTGCCAGGGACCCAACCACTTGAGCCATTGTCTGCTGCCTGCCTGATGTGCATTAGCAGGGAGCTGGAATCAGGAGTGGAGTGGACTTGAACCCAGGGCCCCCCCCTCGGTATCCTAAGTGCTGTCTTAACTGCTAGTCCTGTTATGCATTTCTGTTAGGCCGTCCCAAAACATACCAAACACCAGGGTAAGGGAAAAGGTTTATTGGGGAAAACACAGCAGACCGGAGGGAAGGGGCGAAGAAGGAAAAGGAGAGTAAGAGAGAAAGAGGAGAGGAGAGGAGAGGAGAGAGGGGAGTGAGAGAGAAGAGGCTAGAGAGTGAGCAGAAGAGAAGAGAGGAGCCGAGAGAGCCCCGTGTTCAGGAACAGGTCCTTTTAAAACTTTGCCAGAGGGCTGGCAGGGAAGCAGGAGCAGCGAATCTCATTAGGATGGGGGTGGGGCTTGACACTGGTGGTTGGGCCTTGTGGCCACCTGGCTTTCAGCAATGGTGGAGGGAGCCAGGGCATAGGATGTAAATCAGGGTGTAGATCGCACCATAGATAAAACTGTGCCATTTTCCTAACAAGGCCAAACACCCACGCCTTTACATTCTTTAAAAATTAAAAAAAATTTTTTTTTTTTAATTCAAGAGGCAAAGAAACAGAAGACAGAGTTCCCATCTCTCGTTCACTCCCCAAATGCCCCCTGCTGAGGCTGAGCCAGGGGTGAAGCTGGGGCAGGGACTCAATCCAGATCTCTCACATGGGTGCCAGGAACTCATCACTTGAGCCGTTACTGCTGCCTCCTAAGATCTGCACTGCCAGGAAGCTGGAATCAGAAGCCAGAGCTAGGAATCCAACCCAGGCCCTCTGATGTGGCTTGCAGGCATCTTCATTGCTAGGTTGAATACTCACTCCTTGCGTCCTGTAGCACTGGCATCCCATATGGACGCCGGTTCGAGTCCTGGCTGCTCCACTTCTGATCTGTCTCTCTGCTATGGCCTGGGAAAGCAGTAGAAGATGGTCCAAGTTCTTGGGCCCCTGCACCGGCATGGGAGACCTGGAGGAAGCTCCTGGCTCCAGATGGGCACAGCTCTGGCCATTGTGTCCATTTGGGGAGTGAACCAACAGTTAGATCTCTGTCTCTCTCTCTCTGCCTCTTAGTAAGTCTGCCTTTCAAATAAACAAAAAAATCTTTAAAAAAAAACTTCTTTATTTTTTCCTCTGGCTGCTTTTTTTTTATTTTTTTATTTTTTTTTTAATTTGAAAAGCAAAGTGAGAGAGAAGAAGAGGAGGGCGGAAAAGCCTGGGGGTGGGGGTGGGGGGTTGCATCTACCTATTCACTCCTCAAATGGCTGCAACAGGCTTGGCTGGAACAAGCCAAAGCCAGAAGCCAGGAACTGCATCTGCGTCTCCCCGCGTGGGTGACAGGAACCCAAGCACTTGGCCATCACTTGCTGCTTTAGCAGGTGCATTAGCAGGCAGCTAGACCGGAAGCAGCAGAGCAGCCAGGACTGGAACAGGAACTCCAGCATGTGATGCTGGTGTCCCATGGGGGAGCTTAACTCGCTCTGCCTGTCCACCCCTGACTTTTTTTTTTTTTTAAGATTTATTTATTTGAAAAGCAGAGTGAGAGAGAGAGAGAGAGAGAGAGAGAGAGAGAATATTTTTCTCTTCACCACTAGTTCTGAGTCATATACGTCTTGGTGTCATGTTCTTTGTTTCTAACATTTGGAGTTCATCAAGTTTCTCAGATGTTTGAGTTTATGATTTTTTTAAAAAATATGTATTTTTATGTTATTTGAAAATCAGCATCCATCTGCTGGTCCACTCACCAAATGCCTGCAGAAGTCAGGGTTGGGCCAAGCCAAAGCCACGACTCAGAAACTCCATCCTGGTATCTCACACGGGTGGCAGGAACCCAAGCACTTGGACCATCATCCATTGCTTTCTCAGATGCATTAGCAGGGAGCTGGATTGGAAATGGAGCAGCCGGGACTTGAACCCGAACCACTCTGATATGGGATGCGAGTGTTACAAGCAGTGGCTGAGCCCACTGTACCATGGCGCTGGTCCCAGGCATGCCTGGCAACTTTTGATTCAATGTTTCCTTGCAGGGTGCTGGGTATTTTAATATTCCTATAAATCTTTCTGGGTCTTGTTCTGGGATGCATTTAATTGGTCTGGAGAAAGTCTGATCGTTTTAATTTTTTTTTTTTTTTAATGACTTGTGGAGGTTCAGAGCAGTGTTCAGTCCAGAGCTAACTGTTCCTCACTTAGGAGGCAAGACCTTCCTGGGTACTTGCATTAATCACGCCTTTTGCTTTACATAGTTCATGAGGCTTTGACACTATGGGTTCCTGCTAATCCTGGAGACACTGCCCCTCCCAAAGCTGGCTAATTCCTGGAGATTGCCAACAATCTGCCTGCTGGCACACCCTTCATCTACGAGCCAACCAGCTCCCCAGTCCTGTTCTCACAGAGGCGATAAACCAGCACTTCCGCTGTTCTGCGGGACCCCCCCTCCCCGGGGCGGGGGCAGGAATT